ATTTCTATTATTCTTATATATTATATATATTATGTAGTTATAATCCTACAGTTATTATATAGAATTATTATATAATATAATCCTGCTAGTAAATAGATTTTTATTAAATAATAAATCTGTATAAAAGCAGAGTTTATTAAGATTTAGAAATATATAATTATCTTAATTAATAAAGTCTTTAAAAGTATAATAATAATAATATTTAATATTAAGCTCTACCTGCTGCTAATAAAATAGCTTATATAATAAATAATTAAAAAGATTATTTTTAGAATTTAAATAAAGCTAGAAATTATTTAACCTCATGATCTAGTATATAAATATTAAAAAAATATATTTAAGTTAGAAAATATAAACCTGCTTAAAATTCTTAAATAAATAAAATATATAATTCTTATCTCTATCTTCTAATAGAAAAAAATATAGAAAATCTATAATATATTTATACTAGTTTTCTAGAAATTATATATTTAATATAATATTTAATTTTATAAAATTATACTTGTTAGGTATAACCAGCTTTACTGTATATAATTAACTTTAGTTATCTTATATATAAATAGTAATGGTTATTATAGAAATATTAAAATTTTTATAATTAATATCTATACTGGACAGGTTCAGAAAATATATTTAAATATTAAAAAAGATTTAATTATATATACAGCTAAGTTAAAGAATATTAAGATAATTTTTATTTTTATAAAAGATATTTTATTAAAATATAGTTTTAAAAAGATTTATATATTTACTGATAATCAGACTGTAATTTAAATAATAAAAACTTCTAGTTATTCTTTTAAATAATTTTTTTTAAGAATTATTTATAATAAATTCAGAGCTCTATAAGATATAGATTTTAATTTTATAATTTATTAGATTTCTGTTTATATAAAAATAAAAAAAAATAAAATTATAGATTTTAAAGTAAAGTAGACAGTAAAATATAAAATTAAATTAAAATAATAAATAATCCAGCTTATTTCTACTACTAAAAAAATTATTTATAATAAGTTTCTGAATAAATAAATTAAATAATAAAAAATAAAATATATAATAATATTTATAAAATGCCTGGTCAAAGCTCTCTTAAAAAAAAAATACTAGTATTTTATAAGAATTTATTAAAGATATATATATTTATAATTATATAGATATATATATAAAGAATTAGTTTTATATACTTTTTTTATAAAATTAAAATATAGAAGAGTAACCAATGCAGTTATAAAAAAAAATTATAAATTTTTAAGTATATTTTTCTTATATATTTCTATTTTATAAAATTATATAATTAAATATTTAATAAGATTACTGTATACACAGATCTGAAAAATAAGATAATTAATTATAATTTATTTATATCAGATCTACAGGCGGTCTGTTATATTATTAAATTTATATTATAAATAAATCTGCTTAGGCAGTTTAGCTAGATTAAATTTAATCTTAAAAAATTTAATCTAGACCAGGAATATATAGGTTTTAAAGTTATAAAGATAAATATTAAAAATATTAGATAGAAAATTCTATATATATTCCGCAGGAGTTAATAAAAAAAATTATATATATTAAAAAAAATAGGCAGATTAGAAGTAGAATATAAATAAAGAATAAAAAAATAATAATTTATAAATAACTAGCCAGCTAGTTATAATATTTATTTATTTTTCTTATTATATAACTTTACTTTATATTATTTTTATTATATTTAGTTATATTTGGCTGTGATAATAATCTTTTTATATTACAGAATATATTGCTTTATATATTTACTGTAAGTCTGAGAGATATAATGATATTCAGAACTATATTTCTGCTTTAAACAGTGAAGTACCTGCATAGCTAGCATCTTATTTAGCGGGCTTGATCAGGTATAAGAATATGAATTGAATTGAATTGAATATATTGCCAAACTAAATCTGCATCTGCGATACAAAACTCTTTTAATATAAAAGGGGTTCGTGGGTGGATGAATCGATTTCCTTAATGAATTGAATTCGTCTTTCCTGTCACCATGACTGCTGTTCTTATTACTGGTGCAACCGGCAAACAAGGGGGTGCCCTCATCAGGAATCTTCTTCTCCGGAAGGCTCCCTTTGAAATCCTCGCCGTCACCAGGAACACCTCTTCCGCGTCTGCCCAGAAGCTAGCTAGTTTGTCCGCAAATATCATGTTGGTGGAGGGTGATCTTGATAACCCGGGTGCCATCTTCCGCAATGCTCAACGCTTAACGACCTCGCCCATCTGGGGAGTATACAGTGTGCAGGTAGGTCAATGAACCTGACTTTGGTCTACAAAAATCGCTCTTATTGACTGCGTCTCGCCAGGCCGCAATTGGCAACAAGGCGGAAGAAACGCAAGGAAAAGCGTTGATCGACGAGTCTATCCGACAAAAGGTCAAGTTCTTCGTCTACAGTTCCGTTGACCGCGGCGGCGAGGAGCACTCGTTCCAAAATCCCACCAAGATACCCCATTTCATCAAGAAACATAATATCGAACACCACCTGGTCAACCGAAGCAAAGATGGCAACATGGACTGGGTGATTCTGCGCCCGGCCGCCTTTTACGAAAACCTAACTCCGGATTTCTTCGGCAAGGTTTTCACCACGTGCTTCAAGATGGCATTGGCTGGAAAGCCACTGCAGCTTGTCGCCACAAGCGACATTGGATACTTCGGTGCTGAGGCTTTCCTCAACCCGGACAAGTACAAGGGGAGGGCCATTTCGCTTGCCGGTGATGAACTCACCTTCGAAGGGATGGGATTGATCTTTGAACAGAAGACGGGACAGCCACTACCCATGACATTCCGCCCGATATGCTCGTTATTCATGGCCATGATGAAGGATATGGGATACATGTTCCAGTGGTTTCGAAACGAAGGATATAGGGCTGACATTCCGAGGTTGAGGGAGATCCACCCGGAAATGATGGACTTTGCAACCTGGTTGAAGAAGGAGAGTGGATTCAAGAAATAGCCAGATCTGGAAGGCACATGTGATGTACAGTATCGATAGTGTGTAATAATCTACCCCATAGTATAAACCGGATAAAGGCAGTTGTGAAATAGCAACTATCAGAATTGTCTTCCGTTTACCCTGGTGTAATGATCGGAAAAGAGATGATTAGTACACATCGATTTTTGGAATGGTATCTATGACGCATATCGTACATCTATCTTCTCACCGACCGGCTTAGCTCTTGGTATGGAATTTTCCTTGTCAAAGCTCATCATGTCTAGTCTTTGCAATCTCGCGCATCGACAGCAGATTCTCCCTCCGCGTCCACGCCAGTCTCGCCGCACCGTCCGCCACCATAGTGATATCCTTTAACGACCCAACAATAGGAACGCCATGCCCGATAGCCTGCTGCACAGCACGGTGCACAAGCTCTCCATCGAAGTAATCGGTCAAGATGATTGCGTAGTCCACTCTCTCTTGTTTTGTTGCTTTTCCCGTTTTGTGTGGCTCTGTAGAAAGTCAGTCCTGATACTGAAACAGGGTTATGTGGTCCATGAGACATGCCTGCCATAGCTTGCAAATAAACTTGGATATTATTTGCCAAACTTTCCATGTAGTTATTCTCGACTGCCGTGATCTGGCTACGCGTGAGAACCAAGTCGGGGATGTTCCCATGCGTCCACCAGGAATCTAAATTTAGCGGAAGTTCGTCGAGCGTCTCTCCGTCTTCAAAATCTCTGTTACCACCGAGCTGATCTTCCAGCACTGGCTCGAGCCCCAGCAACAGCTCCACTGCCGGATCATAACCCTTTAACATCAACCTTGTCTTCAGCACCGCCTGTATCAAAAATCCGTTATCACTACCCTGAACGACCAGAGTTTTCAGCTGAGCATCACCGTCAACAAGCTCCTTCACAAGGCGGTACTGAATCCTATCCCCACTCCACGGATCTAAAGGAAGATACGGATACACTGACTGGCCCTTGCGGCGGCGCTGTGGCGACCCGTCGTACAACTGAACACCACAATGGGTTTCTCCCTGGTGAACAATCAAGACACGATCATACTGGTCGATCGCCGGATTGAGGTAATGAGTGCAGAAGGAGCGTGGGGGCACGGCACCCTCGAGGATGGTGATGCCCACCTGCTGCCCGGCTCGAATAACAGTCTCTCTCAGCGTGTCGTTGAAGAAGTCGGGCACGCCGACCACGGCCCAGGTCATGTTGACGCCGTGAGCTGCAAGAGAAGTAGCCTTGAGCTCGGCGAGTACTTCTGTGAGTGTTTCCGTGACGTCGGATAGAGACAGCTTCTCCTTGATCAGGCCGCGGGAGACGAGGAAGGACTTGACCTTTCGCTGGACCGAGACGGGGATGATCCCGTAGACAGTGTCAGATATCGAGCGGATCGAGTTTTGAGTCCAGACGACGTATGTGTTGCTGCTGATGGAGACTCTAGCATCGATCACTTCGAACAAGCTCCACATGACGCTGGTCAGGAGCGTCAGCGGTGTCGACCTAGATCCGCTTCTCGGCTTCCCAAGCCCGGATCGCTGGAAATGGTCCATGGACAATTCTTCGATCTGCCGCTGGTACTCCTTGTGATTGACTACCCCCAATAAGGTGAAATTGTTTAGAGAATTCGCGTAGGAGGCAAAGACAAAACGATGGCCGAGGTCGATGCCGATGGGATCGTTGGGAGGAGCATTGTCGCAGGTCTCTTCTGCCACAGCCGCCGTGGAAACGCACCACCACAACAGGGCCAGAAGGAGTTGCGAGAGGTTCATGTTACGTATGAAAATTTTTTTACTTTTTTTTCCCTCATGTTATTTTGCTCTTTGCGGGTGGCGGGTGGTTAGCCTTATTTATAGGGAAGACGGTGGCCAGGCAGAATCGGAGCTAAAGACCCTCGTGCCTGAACCAAGTGGATCCAATCCATCAGGGTCTGCACCCAAACAGTACTAGCTCGTCTTGGTTGTCAGACAAATATATTTTATATCAAGACAATGCTGCTGGACATACTGCATATTTACATACACCATCAATTCTTTCTCGAGGTCATAATGAGCTCAAAGTCCTCCATTTCTGTTCAACAATGATTCCACCTGGGAGATGAGCAAGCCAGGTTGAAACTGAGAAATACCTGTCTACTAAAATACGTGCTACTCTCGGAATATAGCAAAGAGGGTCTCGAAGATCGCTACTCCGACCCTTGATCCCTCATCTGAGCCCCAGCTTGCTCGCATTGTCTTCTTTCGTTCGAAGCTGACCAGAATCCTAGTACTATGGTTCGTGCATATCACAGTCCGACTCGCAATCAGTCTCACATCCTTTCAGATGCCGGCGGAGACTGAGCAGCCCGCGGGCGTCCAATTTGTCCCACCAGCTCGCGTACCAGTCCAGGAACTCCGGGATCGAGTCAAAGCGTGGCTTCCGTCCGTAGAGCACGTGCGGCTCGAAGACGGGAGTCACCTCATCCTCCATAAATACCACGCGCCACCCCCACTCCCGAATATTGGGGGTGTCCGGGATGCCTTCATCCTGAAAATTGATCCCCTCCATATCCTCCTCTGGATATTTCCGGCAGTAGAGGTACGCACTGTGCCACTTCGGATACTCCCCCACGTAGCCGGTGCCCATGATCACACCCGCCCGGACCTCCAGGTCCTCATCCGGGAAGGCTGGAATCTTGGCCTTGTTGATCAGGGCCGAGTTCTCCCCCTCCAATCTTGCCTGCAGCCGCGCACAGTGCTCGCGCACATGCGCATGGTACTGGTCTCGCTGCTCCTGCGTGTCCAGACAGGGAAGGGATCCATACCGGCCGCGCAGCACCAAAAGTCCCGCCTTGAAGGGGGCGACGCCCGAGTGGCGAAAGTCCGGGTCTTCTACCTCATGGGCATACGTCAACAGCCGGCCCAGCTCTTCACAGCGCGGGATCGGCTCCGAGGCCACATCCTCGCCCTCGGCGGCCGCCCACTCCTCCGCCTGCCTTTGGAACACTTGCTGCAGGGTGTCGAGAAAGATCTGGCGGGCTTCCGGCGTGCGGAGGCGCGGCGGGTGGACCCCGTCCATGGCGAACAGAGGGCGTGTGTCCTCCTCCAGCAGCGCGGGCACTGCCGCCAACTCCCGCGTCTGCCGGAACTGGTTGCTAACGTGGCGCGCCTCGGGGTTGCTGGCACTGGCTGGTTCGTCTTGGTCTAAGTCTCCGAAATGGCGCCACCTCTGAATCATACGAATTCTCTCTTTCTCGGTTGCGAGTCCGCGGGCGTCGATCTCATCGATGCGGTCCTGGATGAACTGTCGGTTGGCGGCCGCCATGCGCGTGCGGAACCTATCAACGGCCTGCCGCATGGTTTCGTCCACGTCGAGAGGTGGCGGGTTGGTGCTGGACGGACCGTTCGTTGACATGGTGTATTACACGCCAAATTTCAGGCGAAATGAGACTTGGAAAGAAAAAAACAGGAATGAGTAGAATGAAGGGAGGGAGTGTCAGGGAAAAGAAATTCTGTAATATAGCCTTCCTGATCACGTGCTGGCAGCCCACCACTACTTTTTGATTCTGAATTTAAACTTCTATACGTATTTACCGCGAACAGAACAAGGGAAAAATAAAAAGGGGTCGCGGAACGGGGGTGGCGCGAGGGCGAATTGAAATTACCGTTATTCTTACGGTAAGGCACACCTGGGAAACTGTGTACTATCGAACATATCCGCTACCGCCCCACTTTCCACTTCCAATAATATAATGGAATGATAACTTAACTCCAAAGGTATATGACATAGATAAAAACCACGGCGAAGACGCCCCAAATATGTACAATTCACCAATGAAGCAATGCGAAGCAGTGCAAGGAGGCCAGTATAACTTTATGAGACCAAGAGCTCTTTACCGAGGTAGTATGTCACGCAACCATTTGGGCCTGAGTAGACAAATGTCCCGCCATAATAGTCAGGATTCACGGTGGGGTCATCGCAGGAATCCAAGATTTCTTGGATCCAGGTCTCACAGGTCTGAGTCATTAGGAAATCGACCCGGGTGTGGCAGCCGGTCTGGTCAGCGGCCCAGGCTGCGCTCGCGACGAGGTTAGTGTTAGGATGGGTCCAGATTTTGGGATCATCGTCGACGTGCAGGGTCTGGCCGGCGCACAGCCCCAGCCGCGCCAGTTGGTATTCACCCAACGTAAAGCTCTGGTGCTGGTGATCCTGTGCTTCCGTTTCCCGGAAACAGAGTGGTTTGGTGTCTGGGGGAATGGTGGGTAAGGAGGTTTTGGAAGTAGTAGTGGTGCTGGTGCTGGGATGGCTGGCCATGCTGGTACTGACAGCAGTGGGCTCATCGCTCCCTGCACCAGCAGGGATTGGGGCGGGACCTCCTAGAAGGCCACAGTCAGAGCAAGGCTCCATCTCCGAGTCCAACGGACAGCCCAGGACCTCGGTATAGACCCGGGAGTCAAGGAAGCTGATCCCAGAGAAGTCGGTGCGACGCGATAGTCCGGGGATCTCGTGCAGCTCCTCCCCGGTGCTCATGGACGCATTGTGAGAAGTGACTCTCTCGTCCGAGACTTCCTCTGTAGGTTCAGTCACGCTCAAGTCGCGCTTGCGTTGATAAGGAAATTGTTGATTAGGGGGGGCATCATAAATGTAGTGGCTGCCATCCGGCTTGGGTACCACTGCTTTTGGTGTGCCAACCGTCCGTGTTATTCCAGCTGTATCCACGAACTCGAGCTCCCAAGATCCGAACGGAAATTTTCCAATGTAGATCTTCTGTCCCGGCCCCGAAGGCTCAACCTCATTTACAGAAAAAGAGGGAGGGAACTGAGGAGGCATGATCGACGTGACGGCCTTATATACCGGGTTAGGAAGTGCCAAGCTAGCAGGATCCCAACTCAAAGTATGAGCCCATTTGCGATTTGGATGAGCAGGGTCATCAAACCAGAGGTCCCACTCTTGCATGTTGGTATACCCTGCCTTTGCGGCGGCTCTTGCATCACGTTCAGCTACCTGGTTGACTAGAATGTAGCTTGGTCCATATGCTTGGGCACATTTATTATCGCAATTCAGCCACTCACTAATGCAATAGTCCGCTGGCAACGCTTGACCTGAGCCACTCGAGACCTCAACACCTAATCCTCTCAGTTAGCCCTACTTGTCGACCAATGGTGGAATTAGAATCATGGAAAGACCAACAATAGGTAGGGTTCTTGGAGTTTGAAAGTTTCTTGACATATTTGATGAACTTTCCCATCTCCGTGCCATGGTCGCTGTTCTCAGCCTGAGGGATAAGGCGTAAGGTCGGTCGATCGTTATAATTGGCTATTTGTTTGGCTCCAGAGACACTGTTGCCGAACGGATACTCTTCCACTTCGCAGCCTTTATGGATGGTCTATTAGTATAGCGCTGCAAGATTGTTAACGTGAGGTTCAGAACTTCTTACCCACGAGACCCCATCCGGCCCTGGCTTCCACAGTATCAGAATTCTCCAACACATATACATCGTTGCGCTGAGCGCCCCCTTCATTTTTATCGAGTCCATGCGTTTCCAACCATCGGGCGGTAGCATGCACCGATTTCCCGCGATAGGTGAGTATGGAAGGGGCATTCTTTTTGTCCATGGCAGAACGAGCATTATTGCACACATTTGGCCATTTGTCAATGTCGCAGTGAAAAATCGCGTCGCACTGGTCATTCGGACCGGGCGGCTTGTACGAGGCCGGTTTAGAACATGCTGTCTTGCCACGCTTCGCCAATCCCTCGCCACATTCGTCGGCGTAGCAGTCAATTTCATCCAGAGTGTCGTCGAGATCGTTCATCGCATCCTTCTGGCACTGCGTCATCTGATCTTGGGCCTCACTGGCGGGAAGCTCGCAGGTGATTTCTCCAGTGGTAGAGTCCCAGAGAGGAAAATTGCCATTTCCACAGGTGCCTTGTTCGCTGCTCGGAGCATCGCTGCCATCAGCCGCACATTGCCCCGGGTTATCGGGATCGGTGGGGCTGGTAGAACCGGTGCTTGAGGTGGAGGACGACCGATCTCCTCCGCATGCACCGTTCCCACAGGGCGAACAGTTTTTCTTATAGCACGGAGGATCAGTGTTGGGAAGCGTTATCGGAGGAATCTTCAGTGGGTCTGTCCCAGGCAAGCACATCCCGGCAGGGAGGGTGATGGAGGACGGCAAGGGCATATGAGGCAGGAATGTGGTTAAGGGAATTCCTGCTCCGATGGACCGGCATGTTTTGCGGGGCTTCCGAGGTCTATTGTTATCGTTGTTGGATCCTGAGCCGTTGTTATCAGAGCTGCCAGTGGCCTTGGAACCGGAAGAGGAGGTGGTCACAGTGGCAGTAGTGATGATCGGAGTACTGGATGTTGTCGTAATCGACTGACTATCTGAATTGACCTCGGTGACTGGGAACGCCGAGTATGAGGTGTAGGTTGTGGTAAAGGTTGTAGTGATGATTGGGGCCAAAGTAGTGCTGGTAGTGGTGGAGGTGGAGCTAGGGTTTCTGAACACTTCATCGGGGTCATAGTTACCAGGGATGGGGATAATAATGGGAATATTTGGTAGGAAGCCGGAGGGGAGCGGAATCCCCAGCGGCAGCACTACTCCGGGTGGAACCTCTACTGGATTGGTCATGTTCCCACCCTGTCCACAGCAGGTACCTGTCAGAAGACGGAAGAAGTCACAGACCTCGTTGCACACCGCTGGGGAACCGGCCGGGATGTTGTTGCTTGAGGCGTCCGGTCCAGTTGTGGGAAGGCCGAGGATCCCGTCTGTGTATGCGGCAGAGAGGGTAAAGGTGGCCGAGGGAGCGAGGGAAGTGCAAGGAAGTGGTTTGATATTTACCGTGTCCGGCGTGGCCCCATCACTACTGCTGTATGGATTTGTTGTGTATGCTCCGTCGGGATAATACCCATGGCTGCAGGTGAACTCACAGAGGAACCTGTATACAGACGCGTCTAGCCCCGTGCCTGCATAGCCGCTCACATTCTGTGTCGGAGGAGGCAGCACCAGGGCTCTCTTGCCTGTACACGTGCAGGTGTTGATCGGGCAAAAGCTGTATCCACAGCTGAAACTATAGAGACCTGTCAGGTTTCCTTCCCCTGTTCCACTGACACACGCCGGGGGTGAGAAGTCTGACACCGTGGGGACCGTCAACTCAACCTCAGTCGTACCACACGCCTCTGGGTCACAATCACTGTAGTTGCAGTTGAAGTCACACAGGCCACTGTAGCTCGCGTCTTTACCTGCCAAGGGATAACCTTTGATTCCCGTGGGCTTAGGCAAGGGTCTCTGTTTGCCCATAGTGGTGCAGACACAAGCACCTACCGGGTAATATTCATAAGAGCAACTGAATCCACAGAGACTGGCAAATTTATTTGGTCCGGTCCTGTTGATGCAAACTTGCTCACTGATCCTCAACTCTGGGGTGGTAGAAATTGTGGTGTCTGCGAAGGTGGTCCTTATCCAAGGATTCCAGTTCTGGATGCCACCCAGATAAATAGAAGTATTAATTGATTCACCTTCCATCGATGCAATGACAGCACCATTATGTGAGATAGTCACAACGACCTGGCCGGTATTCCCATTGAACGGGACACTGCCATAATAAATGCTAATCCCGCCATCTGGAGTATCAGACTAGCTTTCTTGCTGGATGACTCCTCCGATGCTCACAGAGACATCGGCTGGAGAACTTAAGAGAGCTGAGTAAAAGACCCTATCCTTTAGGATCTCTGTCGGGGGGAACTCGATCTGGAATTGGGTAATGGTATTGCTGCTGGTTCCACCGTTGGTGCAAGCTGCAGCTGGGGCTCTGCGAAACCAAACCTGGATGCCTTCTTTTGTGATTGTAGCCGTGCCTGTTTTGTAAAGAGCAATCAGGTAAGGCAAGAATGATTGTTATTTGTCATGCAGATAGCCGGTAATGTAGTTGTAAGTTGCTTCACCAATATCGAAAGCAGTGTAGGCATTCTCGTGTAAGGGCCCGATGTAATGAGACTTGCTATAATCATTCCATGAGATGATTTTAATCTACTCTGGTTTAAGATACATCACTTCCTGCCAGCGGTCGAATCACAGGTGATTGCCATTCCATAGCTAGTTCTTCTTGTACCCTGGTAGATTGGTGTAGAACCAGGGTGAGACAGGTATTATGTACGGTTTTCCGTCTAGATACTGCATGTAAGAAGTATCTATATAGGTATCCATATCATTGGGTCCCCATGGCCACCCCGCCCAAGAGAATAGGCCATCAGGGACACCTGGAGAAGCCTTAAGCGCCGCCTTGGTACCTAAGGAAGACCAGTCGGGAACAAAATAACAGCCTGTCTGCTCCTTGATATCTATTTAATCTGACGTACTTTGTGGCCCTTTGAAGGTCGACACGAAGGGCTTCCCCTTGTATTGGTAATAGTGGTTATTTGATCCATACTTAGTGAGCAGGTTAATGACAGTGCTCTTTGGCCAGGCGCCATTTCCTGCATAGTTAAAGGAGAAGAATAACTGAAATCCCACAACGCTGGCTGTCTTAAAAGCATTGACCAAAGAAGGTTCATTTGTGGGGTCACTGTATGCCATATTTAGGGCGAAAGCATCAATATGCGCTTGCTGAGCGAATACCATATTAATTTCCCAGTCTTCAGTTGTGAAATTTTGGGTGTTAGTGACCTTGATAATTATTTGAGGTCAGCAATCGTGACCGGTTGCTGTCAGATTGATCTCGGATATTTACTATGAAATGTGCGAAGACTGCTGTGGTCTGTACACGGCAGACACCCAGCCATATTGCTAGAATGCTTAGGAGCAACGAGCTCTTCATGTCAAGTGCCATGGTTAGTAGACTCCAGAAACCTTTTCTGCGGACAGACTTTCGACGGAGGTTCTGATATTTTATATAGTTAAGGCTTCCGCAAACCTTCCATGTCTCTTTCTGTCCCTGAGATACTTGCTGTAAAATCTATGACTAAAGGAAACTGATACATTGCCACATAAGATTTATTTGGATATCGGCACTGATTTGAATAGTGAGATTGATTGGGATTAGCATGAATTGGATATACCTCAATCTAATAAATCTTGGTATTGTGGTTGTAATTAATCGGCCCTCCCCAGATACTGGACGGAGCTGAGGAGGATATGGAGTCACTTTTGGACTAGTTTCTACTTGGTAAATTAGTTTGTATTGTGCACACCCAACAACAGGGTAAGGCCTATCTAACACCGGATGAACGTGGGATGATTAGTAGTATTGTAGAAAGCTTGTCTACGTTGATAGGTTGGAAGCCAAGTCTGTTGTGAGACTTTCCGATGCTTTTGCATTTCTAATATCCTTGGGATTGTGGTAGACAATTGCAGTTGAGGGATCACAAGAAGGGTCATAACCATCTAATTGGAAAGGGTATCAATCAGGTTGTATCAGCGCACCTTCTGCTTATCTGGCTAGAAAGAGAAGGCCGGATTTGTTAAAGCCATACGGTTAATTACACGAAGGTATTCTGTTGCTGTATATGTACTAATACATTTTAAATACTATTAATTTGATCTGAACCCTGGATGAATGAGCTTGAGAGCTGCTTCTGGTGGAGCCATTCATTTCAATATGGCCTATGAATTGGATGGTGTCATGATGGTCAGTGTCTATTAGGTCAAGCTAGCTTTGGACCCCCGCTCAGAGCCCTCATACAATGAACACTGGCTGAAGTGGCAACCTAGAATCTAAAATTAAAGTATAGTTGCCTAGTAATCCAGTTTGTTGGATTGTCTAAAAGTAGGCTAGAATCTAGATAATGAATTGCCCCTGAGAAGTGTCTCAGACGAAGGGGAAATTTTTGTGTATCTATACTGGGTTCGGCTTAGTGGCACTTCTTGATCAGAGGCTAAAAACTGTTTTAGTGAAATATATACTCCGTATGGCAAAATCCAATAGTGTTGGTTTTTATAGTAGAACAGAGTAATTTACATCCTCGTCGGATACTTCCGAACACACTCACCCAGAATTGCATGAGCGTTCATGAGGTGCACCGCGCTGGAAATATTACTACTAGTACTAGGTACAGAACGGTATCAATCGATACTCTGAAATACAACCCAATGTGGGATGTTCTATATGTAGTCCAAGTACATCCTCCGTCCTTTCCGGATTTCATATCCCTTAGCAGAAGCACCTCTACCACCTCATTTGCGAGAATGGTTTCGAGCTCGTTACACTGGATATGGTCCATGCTTTCGACAGCGGTGGCCACCTTAATCATTCTGGGCTCATTAATTCCCGCAACCGTTCGTTACACGGAGAACACCGCTGAGGTGCATCGGATCCTGGAGATATTTCGTGGCCGAGGGCAGCTCTTCGTCGAGACATTTCCACCCCTGTCCTACCATTTAGCGGCCGGTAAGAGTCAATTAGCCAATATCCATACACTAGTCCTTGTTCCTTCGATGCTAACCCGCGGTATTTGAGTCCTGCTAGCCAACAGATCATGGCTTTTGGAGTGGATCGTTGGCGGAGCTCATACTTTTTTCGTGTGGACCATTTTCTATACAAGCCATCCTCTTCGTTCGGGAGGCTCAGTCGGCACCCTGAGTGCGGTGCTCCTTTCGGCCGGACTGTATTTCCAGAGCAGTGCAGGGTATCCATACATCTACGACCAAGACGGAATAAACGCCTTGGCGAGAAGTCGGGCGTTGGGCGAGACAGTTGCCTTGTGCATTGTCCTCTGGGCAAGAGCTCGGACGGGACCGCTTCGGCGACTGAACTCGGCGGGTGTGTTTGATTGCCTGCTTGTGATTTGCATGTGCCTGGGCTTATCAATCAAGGCGGGCATTTACTGTCTGGCGGTCCTCAATGTCCATCGACTTTCATGGTCATGGTCGTCGCTCGCAGATCCCCAGAGACATCCAGTAGGTCTCACTTATGTTTTTGTAGAGATTAATTTACGATACAATACTAATTCAGGTACCGATGGCAGGTGAGCATAGCTTACAGCTTTGTTGCTGGGTGTATTCTGCGGGGAGTTGTGCTGGCCGCGACCCTTATAGGTATCTTTGCTCTCACGTTCCCCTTGAGTGAGACCTCATTGGGTGGCAATTATAACCTACATTACCTATCGGCTTCGCTTCGGCGAGAGCTGCGCCCTGCAATGGGTGCCTATTCCCCGGGGATCTCAGAGCTGGAAGGCCGATCCTTTCCGGTACTTTCGCTGGTTCCTAGAGCTCCAATCAGTCTCTATCTCCCCCGTGCGGGTTTTCTGTGGTCCGACGAGCTTGCGTGGGATATACATTCCCATAAGTTCAATAGGAAAGCAACTCCACGATCTTGGAGACAAACAAGCACAATCGATGCTGTCGAAGAACATATCACCCATGTAAATAATAGCAGTTCACGAGTCATCTTCTCTGACGAATTCAATACCGTTGGTCAATCTCCCTCCGATCTTTAACTCGTGTACTGGATGACTGATGTGCTTACAGGCCCGTGGTTCTTCGACCAGGTCCTGGCTGGTGAGTATGACCCAAGCGACCCCGTTGTTGCTGCTCGTATCTGGCCGGGCCAATTAGTGTACCTTCGCCAGTTTGAGACTGGCGAATACGTTACTGCCAGCATGGATGGAGTGACCCTCAGTGACTTGTATGACAACAATCTGGACGACGAGGTACGCCGTTTGCACATTAGGTAAGTGAGCAAGCTGAATTCGTCTCTGAGAAAGACTTCGTGGTTCTTTATGGACACTGAGAAGAGTTCCTTCTGCGGTTACAGTGCAGACACACAGGCATCTGCTCTCTCAGAATGGCAAATTCTGTATGACACGCATCAAGACAAGGGTGTTCGCCTTTGGAACAAAGTAGCCAACTGCTATCTTGCCACAAGCTATCGCACTTACCCCAACATGCATGCCCGTGACTCCAATGACACTATTCTTGAGACCTTGCATCTCCAGTTAGAAGCATGCTGTACCTATCCGCCTTCTCGTGCTGCCTCGACCTTTCATGTTGTTGATGGTACGCCTTTCTCTTTCCCATTTTTGTTTCTCCTGCCCTTCCAACTGATACTGGCTACTCTCTAATTAAGGCGTGTCAAAGTCATTGAGACCATCTACTACTTGGCTACCTCCATTTACTGGACGACTGGCCCTCTACGAAAAAAGGCTGCGGGCGCACGGTGCCTTCACGATCGACATGGTCAGTGCGATGTGGAACCTGTTCTCTTTTCACAGGCGCCATGCACATCTACAAGACATGTCAGTGAATCTTAAAGAACTGCATATCGGAGTTCCTTACTCCCAAAACTGGAGCTACGTCTTTCAAACCTTCATAATATGTGGTGTCCTGTTACATCTGGGACAGTTATTTCACGCCCAGCGAACCCACACTCCTGCGCGCAAAAGTCACCTATCCAACGAATCTGATCCCATGCCTCAGGTACAGCTTTGGTATTTGGTAGCGCACCTAGCCAAAACAGTAGTCGGTAGCGACGACCTCTGGCAATGCCATTTTGAGCTGGGCCTGGCGTGGGTCACTATTGTCGATGGTGTGAATCTTGTCGTCCATAGGAAATGATTCTCTGCTGAGAGGTGACTTGCATGGATTCTGGGCAGAATATTGAAATACAAACCGGTGTATTAATATATAAGGCCATGAGCCTATAATCAAGAGCAACAGTGAAATTCGAAACACTATAAAACGCCCGTTTTTCATTGATGCCTATGAGAGTGGCGCGATAGGATCTCGTTGAGCCATTAATCAAATTGGCCCGCCACAATTGAACTTCTTCGTCTCATTGCCAAGGACTACTCTTTCCCCCGAGGACCGTAATTTCCTTAGTGTAGTCGTGCTTATACTAACCAGGCCAGTTCCAAATCAAGTGGGTCGGAAATAAGTGGCAAAAAGGGTCTACGCTACCCCTCTCGGTCATGTATGAATCGTCGTGTAATACATCGTATGCGTAATGTAATTAACCCAGAACTCGACCCTTAAACTAGCTCTGCCCTAACAGCCAGTCTAAGTCATTTTTGGAAAGTGCATATGAAAGCTAGAGAACGCTTCTCTATACTGCATAATGTTTAGTTTTTCTCGTACGACCTAGACAGGCTGCCATATGTTTCTCAATCTCCGAAATCCGCTAGGACTTATCCTCCTGTCAAATGGCCCAGACCCCTTAATGAAAGAATTTATTTTTTTCTACGTAGCATGATCCGGCCGGCCCCTTTGTTTCTGGATATGTGTTCCTCAATTTAATAACAAGTCCATGCCTAATTCCAGGGTGTGCTGGTAGGACTAAGGTCATTGATTCTTCTTTTTCATTGTCGAAACCATCCTGCCCCCAAAAGATGATGATCTTGTTGAAAGCCCTTAGTGTTTTGCTTGCGGTGGAAGCGGCGCAAGCATCCTCACCATCTTGCACAGAAAACCTCCTCAATGATACCATCTCCTTCTTTAGCCACGCCCCTTTGACTTTCTCCTACGAGGTCAACAGCACCGCTCTGTGCGCAGCTCGGTGTGCGCGAGTCCCGGCTTGTCACGCCTGGCTGTACTCTACTTCGGGTCGGGAGTGTCAATTATACCGGCAGCAGCCTGTTTCCCAGGCCTACAACCCGCAGTTTATATCCGGAATATGTGGAGAGCCGTCCAAGCGTATACCAAACTCAGCAATCTCTGCTTCCTCCTCTCTTCCCTCCCCGTTGCCATCCGCTCCTGTGGTCCGTAGGGTGAGACTTCTTCCCCCGACTTCTTTCCTTTCTCTCCTCTTCTCTCCTCTTCTCTCCTCTTCTCTCCTCTTCTCTCCTCTTCTCTCCTCTTATCTCCTCTTCTCTCCTCTTATCTCCACCCTTTACTAAGGCAGATGGCCCTTTACTTTGTAATCCTCGCTCACTGTTTGCAACAGGTCTCTCATGATGTGAGCAACTCAGGATCAGCTGTGAAGCGTGACTACACTGCGCATCATCAACATCATCACACCCACCATCGGCAACACCACGGCCACTGAGATTGGGCTCAAGAAGAATGTATACTGCTGCTCAGAAGATACGCTATGATATGCGAGCCCAACATTGTGGTAGCAGAGACCCCTAATGGGACTCGATCTAGCAACCACGCTGCCCGCAATATATCTGAAAAGTTCCCGTAGCTATCTAGCAAATACGTACAAGAGCTGGTACTTATTGTGGGCATTCTAAAACTAGGATATTAATATAAAGCGTTCTTCTATTTTCGTTAATGTCATACCATTTTCTGCCATGTACCTAGTTGTCATAGTATATTTATTTCAACCAACCACGTAACGTGCAGTATTTCCATGGCCGCCATGGGTAACCTAGCCTACTTCCAAATGAGGGAACTACTTAAACAGGACATGCAGTGACAATAACATCCAGCCATATCTTGGGGCCATAATGCGGTAGAGCTATGCCTTTTGCATAGCGCAGTGCGACTCGCGTTGATCTTCCCACTGAGGATTGTTGCGCGGTTTGGTTTCACTCTTCTCAATCGGTATATCCTTATATTTCAGTCATGATACGACCTTGCTCTTCCACCTTAATGCGGTTAATCTACTGTCGCACTTGGGTCTCTCGTTCGGGAAAGAGGACAGACACAACCTTCTGTTGCCGAAGATACCATGAGCGCTAGCATTACGTCGAATTCGCAGGAGATACGCTACGCCTTGGTCTTGGTATCTGGTTCCATATGAAATTGGTTTATTCGGTGTGACTAAGATTACATGACGGTGCACATGAGCCATGCAAAGAAATCTGCGGCAATTTCAAGGTAATCTTGGGATCTGAACGTCATGATTCGTCTTCGTCGGACGAAGATATTTAGTATTGCCAGCCGCTTCAGAACCAGCAGATTAAGGCTGAAAAGCTGCGCGCACTCCAGATGAGTCTCCAAGAGGAATACCGAGACGTGATTGTGTGATTTATGCATCCGCATTGTTTAGACTCCAGAGCAAGAAGAGTGTCCCAAGGAAGGGAGGAGTTTCGGGTCACTCCAGAGGCTTCACCATGGCCGTGTATTTACCGGACTCAGACGTAGTAAAATCCACTCTATTACATATCCGGTACATTAGCTATCAGAGTGTCTTCCAAGGTAGACCACCCAGGCTTTCCCATTACCCTCAGCAAATCCTGCGCACGGGCATCCGGCCCGATGTCATAATGAAGCATCTTGTCCGCACGTGGAAGTTCGTCTGGAAATTCACGATCCGGGAAAGCTTTCTGAAATATGGATACCACTTCGTGCCATGTAAAAGGGTTTCCAAAAGCGAAGAGACGCTCATTCGTCACTTCCGGGTGGGTTAGACCCGCCACATGGAGAAGTGCGACATCCTTCACATCAACGCAGTAGGCGCCTGTGAATCTATGTCAGATGTATTACTCAAAACCTGGAGTGTAGAGCTGAGTTACCTGTAGGTATGATGTGCTGCAGGAATGGCCAGACCTGATCAAACTGATTACGAAAGATAGCTGCAGGCCAGCCAGATGATGAGGCATGGCCCTGAGACTTAGCATCGATGGAGGCCCCGAAGCATACAGAGGGCAGGACTGAATGACAAAAGTCAGCTAATTGTCAAGGCCCATACAAATAGTGCGTTTGGTTTACCCGTATTTATAACGAACCCCGGGCGATTCTCTGCTGCCCACTTCCATATCTCCTGCTCACCCAGCGTCTTGCTGGCGGCATACATGTCGAAGCCTCTCTTCGGACTCACGGCGTTGGTCTGGCTTCTGCGGACAGCCTCTTCATTCCACGTATCTGCGGATATAGACATGCTTGGCCCTGCTTGGTACTCCGAGAAGGATGAGAAGGTTGCTGCCTCGGACGAGGAAGTGTATACGAATCGCTTTATTGTGTCTTCTCTCGCTGCACTGATAAGGAGGCTTCGATTAGTACTGACAACGCCTTTGATTAAGTCGGGTGTGTGGCCCAGGATGGTTGCGACGTGGGCCACGCCAGATATCCCTGTCGTTGTCGATTAGTCTTGTGGAGCGAAACTGCCGAGCTGTTATGCCCAATTCACAACTCTGGAAAGAGTTACCTTTGACCGCTTGGTCAAAGGCGCCAGGCGCAGTCATGTCCTCAACCCTGACTAGCTCAAACCGGTCGGCACCATATTTCTCATGGAACAAGTGTTCAATCCATCGGCTCTTGGATGGGTCCCGTACAGTGCCACGGACTCTGTAGCCCTGCTGCAGAAGTTGATCCGCTGTGTGAGAGGCCACATAGCCGTTGGCACCAGTGACCAGAACCCAAGAGTCTTTCGGAATTCCAGTATTGGTGGAAGCGGGCGCCATGTTGTTTCAATGGTAACCCATCCAAGGCGGAGGTGGAAGTGAAAGCGACCAACATACCCTTGTTTATATGTTTAATCCTTACCTCGTTTATGTAGTTGATTTAGTATATGATGGTATTATTAATATGACATTTATTTCAGCCCCGACGTTTTAGATGATGAATGGTTTTGCATGATTAACTAACGGTGCCACTTTCGGGCTTCATTTCAATGCCGAGCGGCAAGGGCATGTATGCTTACATAATATCATGTCTTCGTTTGAGATTAAGTGGGCTTTCTAGTTCTATCTTTGACTGGGTCATGCCAATGCTTGTTAGCATACCGACGTGATGAACACGGCCTTGACCACACGCAGCTGCCGGCGTTGCAGCCAGAAGAAGATACGATGTAACAAAGCCCAGCCTTGCGCGAGTTGCATCAAGTCGGCCTCGGAGTGCGTCTTCCCAGGCCCCGATCGAGCCCCACGACGCAAAAAACGGCCTCTGAAGACAATTAGTTTCGCGCCTGAAGTCCCTAGAGAAGGAGGTGCAGACTCTGACCGAAAAGCTGGAGACCGTGAATCACGACTCAAGGCGTCACCCCCACCCAGCAGAGAACAGCAGCGCTGTGAAAGGCGAGCGCGGGAAATTATTTGTGGACAGAGGATCCTCCCAGTATATCAACCACGAGGTGCTTGTTGATTTAGAAACACAGGTTGGTAGGGTCTGCAAATGTGGCACTTGCACTACTGACAGAGGGCCCCTTGGCGGGTCGTACCAGGCGATCCAAGACAGTCAGCACTGCAAGCATCGCCTTGGGAAGGCGAAGGATGAGTCTGGGACGCAAGAGGTGGCATCAATAGGCAGGGAGCGTAAAATGGTAACCGGCAATGGTTTCGTATTCCAGTATTCGCCGATGGCAGTTTCCCTATCCGACTTTTACCCCAGCAGCGTCCAGCACTCTATCTTATGGGACTTGTTCGAAGAGAATGTTGCTCCGTTGACCATGATATTTCATAAGCCATCGCTTGCTAAGACCTTGAACGGTGCAGCTGCAACGACTATTCCCGAGGACAGGGCCTCGGAGGCTGTGAGGTTTGCCGTGTGCTTTGCTGCTATCACCAGCATGGACCCAGAGCGGTGCAAACATGTATTTGACCAGGAACGTGGGAGTCTGCAACAACACTATCGATTCGCTACGGAACAAGCATTAGCGCGTGCCAACTTTCTTCAGTCGCACAACCTGACCGTGCTTCAAGCCACAATCCTCTACTTAACTTGTCTACGTGGGGAAGACGATGCCGCCTTCATCTGGGCTATGACAGCGGCTGTACATCGCATAGCACAGGGGCTAGGGTTACATCGTGGTGGTACACACCTTGGACTAAACCCGTTTCAAACAGAAGTACGACGCCGGATATGGTGGGCATTTTACTTATTAGACTGCCAGTCTTCCGAGTTTAGTGCCGTTGGTACGCAAATCAAAGAGGGAACATACGACACCAGGTTACCCCTGAATATTCATGACTCGGATATATCGCTAGAGTCAAGGTCGTTTCCCGACGAAAGATCCATTTTCACTGATATGACATTCTGTTTGATACGGTGTGAAATGACGGTGCTCAATCGGCAGCTTCACTTAGATCTGCGTAGTAGCAGCGGCGGCCACGTCGAAGAGAGTTCACTGAACACGTTAAGAAGGCTTCATGGACTGAAACAGATCCATAGTAGATTGCGCAGAAGATACCTAGACTACTGTGACGTCTCAATTCCGTTTCAGTGGGTAACAGTCACAGTCATCCGCCTGGCTCTTGCCCGATCATGGTTGATTGCTCATCTCTCCGAGGGTATGTCCGCGGCAGAGCAGATATTGGTACTCTCGAATGGGGAAGCACTTAAACGGGAACGGCTCTTTGTCACGGCCATTGAAGTACTGGAGTTTGCGTATTTGCTCGAGACCGACCCTCGCACCAAGCAGTGGTCATGGCTCTTTGAGGGATACCCGCAATTGCATGCTGCCGTTTTTGTCCTGAGGCAGATTGGCGTTGGACCACAAACAATGCTGACTGACCGAGCCTGGGCTGTAGCATATAAAGTCGTCACACGTTGGAGAAACAACGACCTCCAAAAGAATGGGGTGACCTCAGCCTTAGTGTCTCGGATCATGGCGCAAGCTGCAGTCGCACAGGGATGCATCTGGGACGGGGGGGAGATCAAAGACGAGTCACGATCACCGACTGATGAGTTGTATCACAGGAAGAATTAGGAAGTGTATTGAGTGTTCAACTGATAATAAACTGATATCAAGGAGATATGAATCTTTATTGTCTGGCTTTGTGTCCCGGAACAGACTAAGGCTGAGTGCACCTGTCCGGCAACTGATTTTGTCATGGTATATTCTACGCGAATATAAAGAAAAATATGGTAAAGCAATGGGAATCAGCCGTTGCCCGTGTACGGCCGGTAAATTCTCTAATTCCAGGCGAGTTTGAGTGAGGAGAATGGTTGGCTTCCTGTAGATGTCTTGGAAAATACACAATCCTAGCGATATGTGACTCACTATGATTACCAGCCATTTCGAAGCATCAATCAAGTCAGGTGAGGGACACGAGAGAAAATTACTACTTCCTCGAAAACATGTATTCAGTCCTCCGGTGACAATGTCAGATGTTTTCATTATACACACGATCGATTGCCCTAGCTCAGGCATCAATGTTATTCCTGATAATATGTACACATATCTACACAGTTATCCTCGCTCCCTTGATCGTTCCATTCCGGCAACCCGTCTACTGCACAACAAACTGGGTAGAATGATCTTTGTACAGCACACTGGAGTCCAGAGTCTCGCCCGTAGTAGAGCGGATAAAGTCAACCTGCAAAGCCGTTGAGTTCAGAAAGCGCAAGGTGCTGTAGCTGTAGTCATCGGCGTAGGCAAAAGCCGTGTACGAAGGCTCCGTGCCCACAGAGCTCAGGCCCTCAATGTTGCCGGCACCACCAGCAACAATGTACATGGGCGCCTTGGGGTTGTTCAGGCCATTGGGATCGGCAGTGTCATTGACCACGGGCTGGAAGCGCTGGGAGTTGTGGACGTGACCGAAGACACCCAAGTCGACGCCATACTTGTAGAAGATGTTCTCAAACGCCTCCTGACAGACATCGCAGGCGTTCCCGTCACCCGTAGTGTACCAGGGGCGATGACCGGCCACCACTACCCAAGGGGTGACCGTGCGGTCGACACTGGCCAGGTCGGCTTCGAGAAACTCAAGCTGCTCGTTCTTGAAGCCGAACGGGCCTGTGTCGAGGTCTGCCGACCCGTCAGTACCGTCGGGCGCATCCTTGAAGTCAGTCTCAGTATCGATCATGGTGACGTGGACCATGCCGTACTCGAAAGAGTACCAGAAGGGCGGCACGGCCAGACTGCGGGCCTTCTCGGCGAGGGCCTGCGCGGTGGTGTTGGTGGATTGGGAAGCGAACGCGCTCGGAACGGTGGCATCGAAGCGGTGCAGGAAGTCGGTGAAGTTCTTCTGACCCTCAGGGCAGAGTTTGTTCAGGTAGGGAATCTCGCTACAGTCGGCCTCGTGGTTGCCGGGACCTGGCATGTACAGACGGTTACCGGAGATGGGTGCCAGCTGGTCGTAGAAGCGCTCCAGGATTGACTGATAGGCATCCGAGCCGTCCAGCAAGTTCCCCAGGTCCTCGTACCAGTCGTCGGCGTAGGCAAAGTCCCCCGGGTGAATGACTAGCTCATAGTCGTCGATGGTATCGGCCAGACGACCGATAGTGGTGTGGTTCAGATCGGGCTCGATAGTGGGGATGTCGGACTTCTTTGCCTTCCGCGAGGAGAGCGTGTAGCCATCGGTGCCGTAGACACCCAGGTCAATGATCACGTCCATGTTGAAGGGGGTGGTGTCTCCGGGGGTGCGCGGGCTGAGGAACTGTCCCACGGTCGAGTTGCCGGACACGATCTTGTAGTAGTAGGTGGTGGCTGGGGTGAGGTCGGTCAGGTAGGCGACGTTGGACCAAGTCCGCGACGTCGAGTAGGTGGTCGACTTGGTCGTGCAGGCCTTGGAGTCCAGGTTACTGCTTGAGGTGCCATACTCGACGCAGCTCTGGTTCAGCTGCTCATACGTGTTCCATGCGACGGAGACAGCTGAAGCAGTCGGTCGTGAAGGTCAGCGTGGGCACTCTGGTGCGATAACAATGGAGAGGGGTTTGACTAACAGTTGGATCCATAGATTGCCAATCTCTGTTGGTAAGGGGTGGTTTTGTCCTCGGGGATGGTGGGATAGTCGACGGCTAGGGTACCCACCGCGAGGACGGGCAGAACCTTGGTCAAGGCAAGAATCTTGGACATGTTGGCGCTTATTCAGAGCAGACACCAAATTCTTTGACACCCGTAGAAGACATTCCTGATGAAGCAGCGAGGGTAGTGGCCGCTGAGGGACTTATATATGCAGTTCCAGTGGGCAGACGCATGACCAAAAATGCGTCCTAGGAGTAACACGTGGGTGGGGATAGGAATGATGCGGAGCAGTGAATGAAGGCTTGCATCTCATCCAGGAGAGCCTTTCGGACGACGCTGCAGTATAGGGTTATTGTGGCAGGCAACGTGCGCCGGTTCGCGCCTCTGCTTGGAATTGGACGAAGGCAAGAGGGGCCCCGCCCAGTTCCGCATCAATTAATTTCATTTCTGCAAGCTCGACAGATGACAAAGAGGCAGAGCGAGTGAGAAGCGTGGATGAAGGCATTAGTGCTGCACGTGGGATCGGCGACGGCTGTCACTGCTTCGGAAGGACCGGCCATTACGGGAGAGGTGAACCGAGGCTATTCCCGTCTGTCGATCACTCCGGTCGGGGATCCGTCGGCGATGGATGGACTGACCCTACTCTTTAGGACTGGTTCACTTCGGTTACAGATGGAAGTTATGCAATATACTGTTAATGGTGGGTTACATTATGTTGCTACTAGTTAACCACGACTGACATGCTACATGCGAGGTAGTATTGATCCTCACCCTCGCTAAGCTCTTCCTACAGCAAAAGGCATCCTTGACCATCCACCCCCGTCAATTACGGTTTGTCATATAATTATATCCCCGGTCAAACATGACCTTGGCCTCGCGCGTGTGCTCATCCAAATCTTCCGTGGGAAGTCGCAGCAGGTCATTGTCTAGCCCCTGACGCTGCTCGTAATTGCCATCGCCGTTAGGGAAGAAGACCCGCGAGTACATGGCCAGCACTAATCCCGCATGGTCGCCCTGCTTCACCGACTCCAATCCGCGCTCATATCGACTTTGGGAGGGTTCCTGTTCGATCGTCCAACTGTCTGCCGTATCGCCTGTCACTCGGAGCCAACTTGCCAGCATGTCTCGCTGAGTGATCAGGAAATCGGAGATGTACATCGGCTTGTTCCGCCACCGACTCATTGTCAGCTGGTCATCTTGTTCGTCTTCTGGGAGCACAGGAAGGCTCAGAAGGGTAGCTACGGCCCGGCCACACTGGGTCAGGGTGCTGACATTGACCTTGGTGTTGCCGTCGTCGTTCAGGATGAGCTTCTTGGCGGAAAGATCGAAGCCGAATGCACTCGGCCCCAGTACCAGGCTGTGCTCATACCAGAACCCACAGATCAGTGCGGTCCACGCCATGCCCTCGGCCTCGATGCCGGCCACGAGGTCGCGAAACCCTCCCCAGTTGAGACCGCTGTCGGCTAACGGCGGGTGCGTGACATCACAACCCCAGACATTAGGCATCACATGCCGGATCCCAGCTTGAGAGGCAGCTTGCAGCAGCTTTGACTGGGTATCGCGAGGGGTCCGCACTGAGAGACTGATGATCAAGCAGTCCTGGCCCTGAAGAGCGCGCACCAAGCTGGCCTCATCGTCGTAGTCCACAGTAATGGACTGGACGCCGGCGGGCACCTGGCTCGTACTACCGATGCGGGTCAGGGCTGTCACGCTATGCTGTCCAGTCCGAAGCAGTTCCTCGGTGATGGGCTTTCCGACGGTTCCCCCGGCCTGGCAATTGGACCTACGGTTAGCGATGTGGATAGTACAGTTTGGCATAATGCACTTACTCCGACGATAGCAATGCGTTGAATGCGGTTGCTGAACCCAGCGGGTTGGTCCTTGGCGTATTGGTCGGTCATGATGAGGAATACAGATGAATTTCTGTTCACAAAGAGGCTGTTGAGTTGAATCTGCTTCTGCTGCTATTGTGGCAGCAAGTGGGCGATTATATATTGTCGAAGGATTCCCCGACATACTAGTGACCGGGGATTAGAGGCATTATCTCCGCCATGGGTTCGGCGTCAATAGTATGGTCGCCCGGAGGTAGATGAATCAGCAACCTTCTCTTCCATGCAGTGCTTAACAAGCAAAACAGCAGCCCAGGAATTTGTGGGCAGCCCTGGGGCGCGGGAAGGAGGAGATACGGGGTCCGATACTCCGATCTGCCCGACATGGAGCGAATCTCACCTCATCGATAGGGCTTGCTTACTTGACGAAGGAGTGAAGGAGTGAAATCCTTCTGATTAGCGATGACTATTTGACAGCATAATTAGTGATCCCTGATGATGTGTGATAAGCATATTAATATTATTAAATTGAGTATGCCACTACACAACGCTCCTGCTGTCCCTATTCATGTCCCGGCACTGTTACCATGAGTTATCTCGTGGAGGTCTCCACCCATTCTTTAAAATCCCGGTTGAATGATTCAAACCCTTGGCGGGTATTATCTCTCCACCCCGCAGCGTTGGCCAGCATGCCCTGACCCATGAGAAAGCTGAGCAGTCCGGTGAATCGCTCTTCGTGAACGAGACGTGTTCGGCTCGCTTGGCCAGGATGGTCTGTCGGAGCGCATTCAAAGCTGAAGCGATGCTCGCCTGTAAAAATTCCGGGGATCGAGTGTCAGTTTGCTAGGTACACTTTGGGATTGCAGCAATGGGACGCACCTTGTCCCGCACTACCTCGGGAGCGGCTGCAATCTCCACGATGGTTGTGATGGTATGCATTGGATATATAGCTTTTTCTTTTCCGAAAATAGCTCGCTATATTCTGGCAATGGTGAGCACAACTTCAGGTATCGTATCGGCCTGGCCTTTATAGGACGACTCGAGCGGGCGCACGGAACGCCGTGTCCGAAGCCTTCATCGTTGCAGATCCATTGCGGCTTCGATGTGATAGCTAGTTTGGCTCAAATCCAACAACAAGATAAAAAGGAAATGAAAGAACAGAAGCGGAGGTTTGGAATATAACTAGTCCGTTCTAGCTGTCAAGAAGACGACTCTGAATGCTCTATCTTGACATGGCGTGGCTAAGAAAAGATGATCGAACCTCCGGGATTGTTTGGCCCTCCATGTCATTACGCTTTCCTGCCTTGAATACTTGTTCACCAAACGACTCCCCAGTCTCTAAAAACCCATAAAGGAAGGATCACTGTATTTGGCAGCATAATCCGAGCATTCTTAGACATATATCTTCATGGCTAGGGGCACAGGGTGGATTTCCGACCGTCGGCCGTTCTCTCTCTCCTGCTCTCCGCTCGGGATATGATTTCCGGGCAGAAGGGTTTTCGTGTTTTCCCATCCCTTCATTAGAGTCATTCTCGCTTTAACTGTGAGTAGCCATTGCGAGTATTCTTTCTTACGTTCCGACTATGCCTGCCACATCCAGAAGTCAACGGTCCCTTCGGAAGCATGTTACCACGGCCTGCATCCCCTGTCGTGAAGGGAAAGTCAAGGTAATAAACTCGATCCCCGTCGCCCAACCACCATAATTGACCCATACTCATTTGCGGTAGTGTGGCGGAGGTTCCCCAACCTGTAGAAACTGCGCCATTCGAGGCAAAACCTGTCGCTACCGACAAAGCGATGACAAACGGAAAGTCCCCGTGCGACCGGCCGTGGCCGTGCTGGCACGCCGGGTGGACAGCCTCGTCCACTATATCAAAGAGCGTGGCCTACAAGTTCCGCCCATCGACGAGGAGGACCATCGTATCTTGAAAAATGTTCTGGATGCTTTGGAGCTGGGATGCGAAGACCTTCTCGCGTTTCCAAACCACACCAGCCCCCGGAGAGGGCAAAACAATAGTGTCAATGTTAACATCGGGCCCACTACGCCCGCGTCCATCAACAGCGGCGCTCCTCCCACTCAGATGGACGAGACCCATAGCGTAGGGCCATCCCACAAACCGACTGTTCCTCTGGATGCTCTTGATCCCTTGTGCGACAATGAACGGACGATGTGGAAGGGCTCCACTATGCAGGGAGGACCGAAGGAGGACGAAGTGGAAGAAGATGGGGACAGTGACGACGAAGTCACAGACCAGCTCTCCTGTCGACTAGGGAGATTGCAAGTTACCCACGATGGTCAACTTCGATACTTTGGTTCCACATCCAACTTAACGCTCCTGGATGCACTCGTTGATGTCACTCCGCCTATCGCCATTCCTCGGGATGCGCCCGAGTTGCTAGACAATGCCAAGCTTAATCAAAACGTCGACGAAGCATTCGAAAAGCACCTCATTGAGCTCTTCTTTGCTTGGCAGGATCCCAGCCTGCATGTAATTGATGCCGATAGCTTCTGGCGGTCTCGAACACAAAGCCGTGAGGAAGGGCTTGTCACGCCATATTATTCCCGAGCCCTGTCGGACGCCATGTGTGCCCTGGGAGCCGCCTATGAGCCCAAATATCATCCCGACTTTGTCACCTTTCCCCGTTCACTGGCGGAATACTTTGGCGACCGGGCCAAGCTGCTAGTAGAACTTGAACTGGATAATCCGTCAATTGCAACCATACAGGCCCTGGTTATTCTCAGTAACCATGAGGCATCCTGTACCCGGGATACTCGAGGATGGCTATACAGTGGTAAGCCTTCCTCCTTCCCAGTGAATGGGATGCACTGAGACTAACGAAAAAGGGATGGCCATGCGTCTCACACTGGATTTGGGGCTTCATCTGGAGATGGGCCCGTATGTGGAAAAGGGAATCATTCCTCGTCAAGACGCCGAGGTGCGCCGCATGGTATTCTGGGGGGTCTATTTGAATGAGCAGTAAGTGTCCCCGCCCTCTTCTCCTGGGATAACCTGCTTACTATCCAGGTTCTGGGGGTTTTATCTAGGCCGCTCCGCCCAATGCCGGATGGATGCCGTCACGGTGCGGGAGCCCATGTCTCCGAGCCCGTTTCCTACCTCGACCTGGAAGCCATATCCCGATCAACTCGGGAGTAGTTCTCCTCCAACCCCCTTTAACCCACTGTGCCAGGAATGGGTCTCACTCTATGAAATCATGCTCCCGCTCACCGACGTCTTGTAAGACACCGCGTCCAGTAAAGAAATGTTCTTGGCGCTAACGCTTACTTCCAAAGATACGGCTGTTCAGAGATCTCTACTCACGCCCTGCAGGAGCTGGCTTCGACAACCGTTAAGAAGTTGCGAATGTGGCAGGTTAACCTCCCAAAAGAGCTGAAGGTCAATGAAGGGACTCATACTGGTTTCCGATCGCCATTGCCTCATGTTCTCACCCTCCAGTAAGTCCTGCCAGGATCTTTTGTTCATTTTCGGTCTCAAATCTGACAGCAATTCAGTATGCAATACTACCAGTTCATGATCCATTGCCACAAGCCCTACATCTCGCGACGTCATATACAGCCCCAGCCTCCTCAAGGTCCGGGCTCAGGCCATGCTCGAAAAATGTGCATCGAATCTGCAGTGGCCATCGTTCAACTGCTCGGCCTCTATGAGCAGACCTACGGATTTGACAAGACCAGTATCCAGATGGTTTCATTTGTATTTTCAGCTGCACTAATATTGATCTTCAACACTGTTCCCGCTAGAACCACGTCTCGAGATCAACTCCTGGTGAACCATCTCAATACTTGCTTTCGGGCCCTTGACCGCATGGCTAGCTGCTTCGAGAATGCCCGACGCACCAGCGTTTTCCTGGGCACTTTGCGCCAACAATGGCAGATACGCCGGCAGAGACGCCGAGCTCTCGGGGGCAAGTTGAACCTTACGTATGGCCGTGCGCAGGGCCTTTCGGAATCGTCGGGGTGGAACCGGGAAGATACTGAAGGGCCCCCAAACATGCCGTGTAAGCCTGTGCTCACAGAGAGTTCTTCTACGGGACTAGATACTGAACTTAGTGACCTCGTGCCATACTACTCTGTGATTACTGATGCATCCATATCCACAGTCGATTTCATGGCACCCAATCTTTGTAACATCCTGCTCAGTGAAGGGATCCCTCGCGCATTCGTTTGAGTTGGGGAATATGGCATGGCATCTGACCTGTTTGGTATATGCTCCTCAGTTTCTACGAAAGCCTCACCATCTTGCAGAGGATGCACTATGAAAGCATCCTCTGGCATCATGCTTCCAATCTCATGTTATTGAGATAGGAAAACTTGATTGCGACTGTAGCCACTCGAACAACACAGCTGGAAGACACGATGCTATGCGAAGGCACCCTTATCTTCTAAGTTGTAATCGTTTTGAGAATGATTTGAATGGTTGTACATAATAGGGGACAGAAGTATCCGTCATGAACGCGTCAACCTGATGTTAGGGGTACCCGTCTTACTATACCAAAGGCATGGACTACTTGAAACGTATATTCCCCGCTCCCTGTTCGGGTGGCCCAAAAGAAGTAATGCCCTACGGGATAGGATGTTAATGCCTTTTCCACATGGTAACTGGTCCCGATCATAGAGCCGGCTGTCCACAAGATGGTAGGACGGATTTGTGCTCAGGCCGGAACATTAGAAAAGAATGCCTAGGCAGTGGTCGAGCACCTTTGTAGTGAAATGCATTTGATGGTGAACTCTCTGACACCGTCACCATGATCCCAATACGATGCCCCGAAAACGAGCCGAAACTTGTATCCGTGAGATCATTCAATTCTCAGATTTACTGCCACACGCGTTTGACTACTAAACTGCATCTGGTGCATGCGCTCGGAACTACTATATCAAGCTACATGCATATCAAAGCATGCAGGTAGCGAAACGCCCGGAATTCGGCTTCCTGCAAAACACCGGATAAGAACAGAGAATGTCAGAACGTGTATCCTGCCAAAATCCAGCTCACAAGATGCGAGTAAACGATCAACACGCATACTCCTTGAGTTCCTGAAGTGTCATCCAACGTTGCAGTCGATTCCACGGTTTTAAGGTTTGGCTAGTAATGAAAGGTCACAAGGATGTCATAATAATCAACAGCCGTTTGTGGCTTCTTTTGCAGAGTTGGGATTTCATATAAATATTTACAAGTAAATAATGTGTAACTTTCCAACATTTGAAGTGGAAATCCATGATTGATTCAACTGTTGCGCGCAAGACAACCCAGATTTTGAACTACATTTTGATCAACGACCGCTGCATCTTACCATCCGCTGAGATGAAGAAGAACCCTCCAACACAGGACGTTATTCTTCAACGGTTACATGGCCATACGTGCTTCATACCGGATCTTCGGTCTCTGATAAGGAATGAACCCGGGGTCAAAAACAGCAACCATACTTTATTAGCACTATGTGTTAATGACTATATAGATACGTATGTATCTCACATCACAATAGGGACCTTTACCAGAAGATTACGCTGATGCCAATGACTTTCTCAGTCTCTTGCCCGGAGATCCAGCCAAGGCACGCAAAGTGAAAGCTTCTGATTTCCCACTATTAGCCTGTCTTTGGTGGCCACATACATCATTCAGAAAGCTGCGTGTCTTGGCATTTCTAGTTGTATGGCTGATTGTCTGGGACGACGAACTGGATGGGGCATCCCAGTTGACGGCGTACAACCTGAATATGGGTCAGCAGTTTCGGGACGAGACGCGTCAGTATATCGGTAGCAGTCTGGAATTGAATTCGGAACAATCTGATCATATTACCGACAATACCATTATTTGCGGGTTTAGTCCAATAGCAGATTTCATCCGAGAAGAGTATGACGAAGGTATGTCAGTTAGGCAGAGCGGATTCCTACCACGTATGACGAGACTGACGCTATATAGAACATAGGCTCACATTGGCAGAAGAGATCATGTTTGTCATCGACATGTCCAAGGTTGAACAGGAAAATCGTCTTGGAACCGATATACCGTCAACCGACCAATACCTGGCGTATCGGCTCGGAACAAACTTGATGGGGGTGATATGCGCTGCAACAGAGTATGTCAGCACCACCGACCGTGCCATATGTATAATACTGATATATGATATTTGAAAGGCTCTCCACGCACCTGCGAATCCCTCGATCAATGACACGTAGTCCGTTGGTGAAGGATATCTGGCACGAGACGAACCTTATTATCGCTGTGTGAGTACATATCAAATGGAGTTCACAATTTCCTGCTAATCTATGCTTAGCACCAATGATATCCTGTCCCTCAAGAAGGAGATTGTCAGTCATGGAACTTCTTCACTCAGAAAGATGTATACTGACGCCAAACCTGTTTAGCATAAAGGAGAAGTATACAGCCTGATACCTATTCTCCTCAACCAGGCGAAATCACCGCAAACCGCCATCGACATCTCAATCCAGATTCTCAAGGATTCATTTGCGGACTTGGACCGCATTGAAGCTGATATTGTGGCAAGGTCTGATCAAATGCCTTTGAAATTCTTAATCGAATCATGCCGCCACTACTGCGCGGGCTTCATTGAGTGGAGGTTCGTGAGGCCTTTCCCAGGATATTGGACTGCCTTTAACGCTAGGATATAGTCTTGTTACTCCACGATATATGCTCTCCTCTCTCCCCATAGATCAGACAGGGGCTATGATCTTGATGTTTTAGAATAATTTCTTGATTCAACTGATCTGGTGGTATGAATCTGCACCCAAGAGTTTGTGTAATTCAATACGTCGGTAGATAGCCACATTGGAGTATTTGGAAAACAAAGAAACAATGGCAGGAGTGTGCAAAGCAGTTAAACCTCTTGTTATCTTAGCAAATTATTCTCTTCTATACGCACATAATGACTTTGGAGGCTTTTTCTATCAGTACTATGATATATACTGGCAAGCTCTGGAGAGCATGTCCACCAGTCCTGGAGGATTTAAAGTACATCAACCACTAAAAAATCTGGCGCGCTAGCTGTAGATGAATTGAAAACCGGTAAGTTTTGTACAGCACTCCCGGTGACAGGAATTATCGTAAGTAATGTGAGGCCTGGCCGTCTCACAGCGAATGTCTATTGTTATTGTTGTTGCGCACCTTCTGCAGAGCTAGTCCTCATCCAAGGGCCGACAAGGCAAGTCTTGGTTTCCTTTGATGCGATGCAGGGTGTGTCTAGATTTGTTGCCTTGGCTTCATGATGATATCGAAAGAAGCAAAGAAGATCATCGGGAAAATTAGACCAGAAATTGATATAGCGAGCCGGGATATCTGCACTAACCAGCCGTGGGCATATAGAGAACAGAGAGTTGCTCCTTGCGCGTGTGGTTGGACCTACTTGATTCAAATACTTGCATAAGGTCAACCATTTCACTGAAGATGCCAGTGCCGCGCACCATTTTGCAGCCCGCCCTTGCGGTGCCTGAATGTATTGCAAGTTCATTTCCCCCCCTCTTAGCGGTTTTCTTCATAACAACAATTTGCATCGTACCTGGTAGTCACAAGAGACCTGGTAATGATGTGGTCTACTACTGCCAGACCCTTGCTTGAGTTGATTTTCAGAGCCACAGCTACGTCCAACTCGTCACTCTAACTACCGTTCGATCATATAACCCCATCGTATTGATCATACGGGCCGTATTTAAAACAAAAGACGATCTAATAAGCTGGCCCTCAGCGCTGAAGTGAAAGGCATACAGCTGCTCCACGTTGAGATAACGAAATCATGCGAACACGTTCATCGCCGCCCCCTTACGTCCACAGCTGTTCTCTGCTTTCTTCACTTAGCTTTAGAGGTTTTCTTCCTGCATCTGGTCTATGCCAAAATGAGGTAGGCTTGAATAAATGGCGTCACCGTATGCAAGACGCCAAAAGTAACGAACTGACCCGTCTTGCGATCACATTAAACTTCATTAGGTGCCGAGTTTCAGGTTGCAGGCATATGTGCCGGAATGGAATCAGCCTAAGCCGTACTCCAAGCTGGAAGACGTGAGGTATTTGATTCGTCTAGAAAATGAGATTATTAGGTTGATCAATTGCATCATAACTGCACGGCGCTCAGAGGGTGAAAAAGCTCCTGGGGAGTATCGGGCATGACACTACGCTAGGTGGTTTTAACATTTTCAACAGCGAATTTAATTTCGCACTCGACGAGATCATCGTTTCAGGTGGACTGTTATGGAATTTATTGTTATCCGCAGTTGATTACTGAGGTAGCAAGGGCGAATCCTCTTCAGCGAATAGGATGTTCATCTACAAGTTGATGGGTTATCAGGTTCACTGTTATAATTCCTATGATGTAGGCCACCTGTCTCATCCGTACGGTATAAAAGAATTTACCATTCATCACAGAAGGCTTCAAGAAACCCAACCGGTTCTATTAATCATTTAATACGTCTTTCTGTTGCAGTCGGAATATGCCTACTAAAAGTTTGAAAGTGGTCATTGTCGGAGGGTCCATCGCGGGTTTACTTCTCGCCAACGCTCTTGCTCGACAGGAGATTGACTTCGTTGTCCTGGAAGCTAGGTCGGAAGCTGCACCATGCGATGGAGCGGGACTATGCCTTTTGTCGAGCGGAGCGCGTATTCTGGATCAGTTGGGGATGTTCGAGGACATCCGATATCACGGTGGTCCTATTTCCGTCCAGCGCATCTGGCGAGATGACGGACAACTGCTTGGGCACACCGAAGGCTTGGCCCTAATTACCGCCCGGTATGTCACAACCACGCGTTGAACACTTCCACAATGTGACATCCCATCGGTTTACGGTCGTAACATGCCTGGCAGTAGGCTTGCTAACATGGTAGCAGGCAGGGTTACCCTGTGATTTTTATTGAAAGACAACGCGTTCTTCAAGTCCTTTTTGACCATCTACCAGACAAAGGACGCGTGCTCCTCGGAAAGAGAGTCATAGAGATAACATCATCGGACGACCAGGCGATAGTTATGTGCTTGGATGGGAGTACGTACCAGGCGGACATAGTTGTTGGAGCCGATGGGATACACAGCATTACGCGCAGGAAGATGTTAAGGGATATTATCAGCGACAGCCCAAAATCGCATATAATGCCTGAAGCTCTTGGACGAGGTAATGCGTCGTATGTACATTCAAACCACCATGCTTACAGTTAAGACAGTGTTCAGCGCTCAGTATTCTGCGGTTTTTGGAATCTCTAAGCCCACACCGGGGATGAAGATCGGACATTGCAACAGGACATTTGCGCATGGCTTTTCATTCTTCAATGCGGTGGGAAGGAATGGTCAAATATTCTGGTTCGTATTCCGTGACATGGGAAAGGTATATGGCGAAAAGGACATACCTCGCTTAGACCAAAGCAAGATAGAGGAAGATATGGCTCCCTTCTTTAATAAGTATGTTGCAGAAGGGGTGCGGTTCCGGGACATATTCGAGAACAGAGTCCGTTGCTCCCATGTGCCTATCGAAGAAGGTTTCTTGAACCAGTGGGTCTGGAAGAGATATGCATGTATCGGAGACTCAGTACACAAGGTACAGTGATGGTCCTACCCCAATTTTCATTGCTGATTAAAGGCACAGACTACTCCTAATCTGGGGCAAGGCGGGAACGGGGCGATGGAGAGTGCCGCGTCCCTGGCAAATACAATCGTTGCTATGGCGCAAGCCAGCATATCCTCCGACTTATCCCCTCCTCGGATTTCAGCCTCCTTGGAAGATTGGGCTGGATCCAGACAGCAACGCATGAGGCTACTCTGCGAGTTGGGTAACGGCTTTACGAGGCTCGAAGCATTCCATACGCTGAAAGACAGGGTTGTAGGTCTCTACCTCGGTAAATATCAACTAGACGCAATAGCAGATATCCTGTGCGAGACAACTGTTGGCGCCGAGAAATTGTCATTTCTCCCACCTCCTCAGAGATCATTACAGGTTACTATGCCATTTGACACTCGAAAAGGCATCCAAGCTGCTACCAGAACTAATTCACTAATACTGCGTTCTCTTATTGCGATTACCATGATCTTTGCAGTTCAACCCCTTCTGCAGCACTACATTGCTGGCCGCATCGTTGATCATTCGCCTATTTTACATAAGCAGAACGGGCTAGCATACGAAGATGATGGCTCTTATACTAATCATAAAAGCACTGATACTCTAGCAGCAATGTCACGAATCGCAGACCTCGGTGTGCTGCTAACAATTTGGGCTGTGGAAAGCTGCAGAACAGGGAACATTGCCACTTTGATGTCATTGTAAGTTTGACAAAGGCTTATTCGATCCGGCGAGAGAACTAACTATTTCATAGCTCCCTGTCCTTCTCTGTGATTTCAGGAATACTTGGAGGGACCCATGTGGTAGCTCCTTTATACTTTTTAATATATGCCATACAGTCACCGGTGTCCAAATTCGATACGCCAGATCGTCGCAGTACGCAAATTTCTTATATGAAAATCTTGATTCCCTGCCTTATATCATGCTATTATATTCCGGGGTTCTGGATCACCTATGGAAACCCTTCAGTGCGAAGCAACTCGGCTTTTATGTTCATTCTACTACCTGCTTTTTTCCGACTCCTTCATGTCCAGGTATCGTCTTTAATCAGAGGAACAACAGTGAAAGAGCTTATTGAAACTCCGAACGTCGACATGCCATATATTAGAATAACATATTACACATGCGCTTTACTATCCGGGGCCATGTCCTTGCTATCGAGAGGTTGGGTATCACGGTCATTACTTGGTTGCTTATTCCCAATATCACAGCATATGAGCCTAACAGTATCTACCATACATGTCGACCACGAAGAGATGGCGGGGTTTGTATGTGGCTTGATATGGGTCACATTCGAGTATATCGACTTAAGCTCCAGCGGGATGATGAACATGCCCTGGCTCTCGTTCATCCTAGCAGGCACACTCATCAGTCTTATTCTGGGTCCGGCAGCAGCCTTGATGCTAGGATGGGGTCTGAGGGAAGAGTACTTGGCAAAGCATGCGGCACGCCGCCTAGAACGCCCACTGATTTTGTCAGCAGCTGTTGGAAGTCCAATTTCAGGTTGAGTTTGATGTAGTCACCCAGCTTTTAGGAATACTTCCTCTCTTGAGTGACAAAAGCCATGACGCGGAACGCCCGCATCCTTTCGTTCCCATGTACGGTCAAGATAGTTACTGAGTGGCGCTTCTCTCTCCGTCCACTTTCATTCTGCAAAATGTGCTTTTGGTTTCGTCCCTACGGGTTGCAGCACACAATTGTCAGTATAATGAATATAGTGCAACTGTCTCATGATATATTTGAATCAACGAACAATGCTACTCAATTTTTGTAAATGAACAAGTTTAACTCGTACTTGAGGTTGCATGCCAGACGAGGCGTACCCGCTACTATTCAAACATCTACAATCTATGTCTTTTCCCACTTCCCAAATTTGTTACTTGATGTCTATACCTTGTATATATTTATATGAGATTCAAACACGGATTTGATTTTAACTCCAATCCCCTTCCACTACTAAGTGCTTTGGGATTGTATCAAAGCGGTACCACTGCTGACAGACCTCCTCACATCACAATACAGTCTTTGAATCGTGAAAAAAATCTAATGTCAATGAACGAAAGTCAATACCTCTAGTATCGTGCTGTCGACGTATTTGGCATGGTCTAAAAGGAAATAAGTGGAAGGGATTATAGAACGCGATACCTGGGGGCTTTTGAAATGCCTCCAATAAAATGCCATGCTTTGGGTAACCACATTAGGACCATTTTGTCTGTATGTATGTAAAGACCAGGAGTAGACTGGAACGTTAAAAAGGGAAGGAGGAGGGGCTGAACAGAGTAACCTTGCTCTGTTAGCGTGCACATGATGCTAGCAAAGCCAGAACCCCCGTGCTTAGACATATCATAACAATTTGTCGATCTGGGCAACAACATCCCTTTTCTGTTACTTGCATTCATGCTGTGAAACCCGAAGCGTATACCTTTCCTGAAATGAATGATCGAAGTTGATGCATTATGAGGCACTGGGTGTGGATGATTTAACACAGCACTTTAGACATGGAATAGTGCACAATTCATCTGACTGTCTCCTTACATACTTCGTTCAGGCCCATACGAGATTATGACTTCAAATTTCCCCTTGCTACGAGCTACATGATGTCCCATGGTGGGGAATGTAATCCAGTGAGTTATTATTGCTGTTAACTGTTAGATGTACATATATCTCATCGTCATTCGCAAAATATAGCTGTTTTCAATAAGATAATTTTCTACAATCAGGTGCTCTGAACATGACTATTCCCCGATCGTTTTCTGGTGCAGCTATGCGCCGCCCCTTGTCTAAATGTGAAAAGGTACTGGACAAGTTGTGTCATAGGTATCAATTTTTCACTCCAACCAATTGGCAGTTATTATCTGTTGCAAGCGGTTTCCTGTTTGTGACAATTCTATTTCTGGCAATGATAGCATGCGGCTTCATACCACCACTCCCTCCATCATGGGGTGCCGACAAGGTATACAATCACTACGACAGACACAAAAAGGGAATTCAGGCGGGGGCTGCAATGATTGTTATCTGCTCCGGATTATGTCTTCCTTATGGAGCAGTAGTATCAAAGCAGCTTCGATTGATACGAGACGTAGACCCAATTCTCGGCGACTTGTCTCTTGTGGCTTGTGGGGTAGCGAGTGTCACCTTCATGATGTCCTCTACATTCTTAGGACTGGCGACGTTTCGGGATTACGGGCCGGAATTGACTTTACTTCTGAGTGATTTGTTTTGGTTCACTCTCATCATGCAGTGGCCGCCGTTTTGGATACAAAGTTGGAGCATAGCGTGGGCAATTCTCTCGGATAAAAGTTCAGACCCTGCCTTTCCAAGGTCCTTAGCTATCCTCAACTTCATCGCTCCTTTGGCATTGTCCTCGGCCACCGCCATCCACCTTCATCAGCATGGACCATATGCATGGAATGGCGCACTGACCTTTTGGCTTGCTTTTGTTCTATTCTTTGCCCAGGTTGGGCTTGATCTATTCACTATGGGTCGGAACATCCTTAGAAGTCGAAGTTTGGAACTGGCTGAGGAGACGAATTGAAGTATCACTTGTCAAGACGAAGGGTCAAAGAAATGGATTTGATCTATCTAGATCTCAAGAAGATGGTTGGTTGGAAGAGGTGGTGGTCAGAGGCCACACAGGAAGAAGAGGCGAAGGATCAGCTGACAGCTGCCTGGCTGCAGTGAATGTCTCAACATCGCTTATGAGTATGCTTCGCAAATTCGGGTCTTCCTGGGGCACTGCTTGGCAACAGAATGTCCGATAATAGCATGAAATTTGGTTATCGGGCTTGTTGTATGCCTTAGCTATTTGTGACACAATCACAGCCGAGAGAATGATATTGAGAGACGGGCGCAGACGGTCTGCTGTAAAAGTCTGGTGATACTTCGGCCACCGCACATGTGTGTATGCAGGACACCTTGGACATTTTCATATATAGGCAATCTCGCAATGTAACACTCCAGCAAAGACACAACGGATGCGATATGGGCGAAAATTGTAGAGAAATGGTGTGTGGCAAGAGCTTCTAGTAATACGCGTGAAGGACGTGGGTACTATATCCCTAAAACCTTCTACTTGCGATATTACCCTGTGTGCAAGTTGCGAACATGTAGTCCATGTTTTGACGTTCTGGTACTTTCATACATAGTCCTTATCTCTGGTGGCTCTTAGTCAAGCGTGAGACGAGAGTCGGGACGCGGAAGACCAGGGGACAATTGCGCGGAGGCGGTCCTGTTGTACAAAAGGTACGAATCCCGCGCGTTGGCACTTTTTGACTGGTTAATGGCTCTCAACCCCCGATTAAAGTTTGTGATGCAAATAGCAGTACAGACAACCGTTGCAGCAGTCAGTGCCAAGGATAACGCGGCGAAAAACAACATCATGCTCTTGCCGGCTGTATTCGCCGAAGATAGAATCACAATCCGGCTGATAAGATATGCGACCAAGGCAAGGTAGCTCATCTGTTATGTGGCAATTAGAAGGCATGCCAGCAATCCTGAGGACCTAGACAAGAGGTAGAGAAGCTCACAATAATAGCAATTGTACTAAAGATTCGTTCTCGCTGGACAAACCAGACACCAGAAAATATCGCAATGATGGCGACAGGGATGAGGAGCATCGTCAAAGTATACTCTGGTTCTTTGAAGTGCACATATACTAGATCATATTGGATAATGAAGCCAATCAGAAAATAGAGGTTTAGTTTGACCAGTACCAGAAAAACCTGCATTTACCAACTATGGTTAGCAAGTATTTACAAGATACTTCAGGAAAAGGAATACGACGGAGTCGATTTTACCTCATAGGCCAGATAACGCATCCGAGTATCCAAGCTGCCGTGAACAGACTTGTAGATAGCCCATGAATAGTCCCGGTGTATCAAATATGCAATTGGGCATAGAAAAAGAGTACACAGCCCTGTAAATATACATACAAGGATCTCTGCTGGCTGGACCTGAGGCCACACATTGCGTGTAGTATCCACCAAATTCGGATAGCTAAAACGTGACTCGAACAGCCTTGCAGTAGTATCTCTCATGACGAGAAATTGCATCACAGAATAACCGAAGCTGCAGGCATTACAAATGCAGACTGCAAAAAGAAGGACGTTATTCTTGTGGTGGATTGCATCCAAGGATAGAAACAACTCAAACAGGCAGGCGAATATCAGAATGCCTAGGTTAATTGGAATCAGGTAGGACACCGGCACTTGATTGATGGTGGAAGTGACCCATCGTTGCCATTCAATGAGTATATAGCTGCCTTGTAGGTTAGATGTGCTCGTGCCCACAAAAGGATGGGGGCGTACATCTCGAAGACGATGGTCAAGACTGCCTGTGCGAGCAACCCGCTGCACAACCACCATTCATATCTCGTCGTCGGTCTATACATGCTCACTCAAGAATATGATGGGCCACCTAACGATGTCGATTTTTTTAGTTGATCAAGTCCCTGCCAATACGTTCAGTGAATTTTTATTGTCCGCCTCCCACTTGATAATGAAGTTGGACTTGCAGCCAACGACGGTGTGAAAATTCTCTGGCTGATTTCCAGGTTCGCCCTGCGTTTGATAGGGCCGTAGGTAGCAGCTACTAAGGGACCCGATATAGGTTTAGTACAGCCTATTGGTTCAAAGTGAGACATTTTTAGCTATTATTAATTAAACCACCAAATGCATCTGTTCCCTACCAAACGGACTAAAATCCTGGGTCAAGTTTTTTCCAAAGTGGGGCGTCGGAAACTATTGATTTTGTGTCTGCCGATCGGCCCACCTCAACATACCCGTCAGGGTCTGATCGGTGTCCGAATGGCTTAGCATTAAGTATCAAACAGGTCTGTGGAATCTTCAATTACCTCAATGGATCGATCCCCATGTCTTGAGACATTCCGTATCACGGGTAGTCTTCCTCACCCAAATCATCAATAGTCCCGTATTGATCTCGTGAATTGGGGTAAATGGTATTGTACATGCCAACAGGATTCTTATGATTCCGATACAGGGCAAGGAAGAGAGGTCATATTGCCACCAATCGTAAGGCAGGCAAGCCATTCAGGTTGCATGTTATCAACTCCACTCACTAGTATAGCAATTGGTTCATTCAGTCTGCAATAGATCCCGTGCCCCGATTTGCTGAAGTCTCAACATGGCACTGTTCAAGCAGTCTGCTAACCTGATTACTCTACTCTCGTCTCGTGAGAACTCTCCTACCAACTGCAATCGAGAAAGCGCAGGTGCATGATATCTGCTACAAAGTTCTTGCAAGATCTATTGCCCAAGAATGGACGAGGGCACTGGCATTTATTCCGATTTTCTGGTAGGTGTTCTTGAGAATATAAATTAATTCAGATACAGGGTACTATACTACAGGCAAAGGAAGAACGGGAAATCAGCATTCCAAGTACAACCATGCTCAACTTGAACTCCACAACAAAGAGCAAGAGATAATGTAATGTTCAATTCATGCCTTCTGGTCGGGAAACTTTCTTAGCATGTCACCCAATCGATCAATAGGCGCAGACATCAGACCAACAACAGTTTCATACGGTGGCCGGTCAGGGGCCGCTGGATGGCTCCGCGTAGGAATGAAATTCTTAGTGCGACCGAAAGAACGCGCCATACTTTCGGAGGCAGATTCACCAATGGCATGTTCAAGAGCCGGCAGATCTTGGCTTTCTTCCTCAATGATGTGCTGCTCTAAGTTCGCCCACAGGCTTTGAAGAGTAGGGATGAACTCGGTATCATCAGGCTGAAGGCCTTGAAATGTATAGAGAAGCTCCTTGATCTGCAGTGTCACGCCAGTTAGCTTGATTCGTCCCTCAAAGAAACGAGGCTATACGTAATCATACTATTTGGTGCTCCTCTCTATCGTGCTCCGCCAAGGCCTTGCCGTTGTCCAGCTTTAGCTCCATCTGGGGATACACGACTAGCTCCTCGCCAATCGAGTGGCGGGCCAGCTCCCAGGTAAATTGGTTTTGCCATCTGACCCTTTCATCATTCGTTTTTGCACCTAGAATTTGATGGTAAGCATCCTTCAGTTCGCGGTGGTCGTTCTTGATAAGTTCAGACACGCGAATCGCGGCAGGGGCGGTGATCCGGAAACCACGCCTCACGGTCTGAACCGTTTTGGAGAAGAGATTGGAGGATTGTGGTCCCCTGAATGATGTTTTCGATAAAGAAGAGAGCGACATGATCGCTTGCCTGATTGGTTCGTGGGCGGGTTTGTAGTAATTTGCTCAGAAATGGAAGTACTATTACGATTTGCGCACTGTAATACACTGTCCTTGAGTTCGTGGGGTACAGCGCAGAACCTGTTTATAATGTCTGAATTTCGAGGTCCAGACCAGCTCGAAAGTATGACATGGGTGGTCATCAAGTGTGCAGTCCGGCCATCCAACAATGGTTAAGCAATTAATCATGTTTTGTCTGCGCCTCAAAGTTAGGGAGCCTCACATTGGCATGATAGAACAATGACATAGTTCAGGCGTCGCGACTTTGGCGGATGGTGGCTCTGCCGGTGAAACCAATAGAAATTTGCATAGGATCGTTGCCATGCGGGAAAGCCCTCAATAACCGGCTTCTTGACCGTTGAGGTCTCTGGCATCTGCTTGAGAGTCCCGCTGAGGGCTTAGCCTAGCCATGGCCACTCAGTGGATTTGCTCATCACGACGACAGCCTTCACAAAAGTCTAATCGGGGTGAAAGGTGAGGGAACGGTAACTTTATTTTGCGTGAGGTAACAACTGTTCACGGTTGGACGTCATGGCTGAGGCCGGAACCGCCCGGACGCCAAGGCAGGAAGTATAAGAACATATCCGCATGCCAGTAGGAGAGACCAGATCAAAGAGACGACCATAATAACCAGCTTCCAGTGATTGATTGGCAAGACGGCAAGCAATGATGGCAGCGCATCCCTTACAGGCGTTGGGGGAAGCGGTGGGAGCGGCGGGAGCCGACCCGCGCATCAAGCAATTGAATTCGCTTTTTCAGGGGGCCAATGACGGGCCCGCCCGGACGGCGGCCAAGTTGACGGGGGTCCAGCAGGCCGGCAAGCGGCAGGATGACGGGCCCTACTTCACCAACAACGAGGGCATCCCCTTTCCCGATCCCGCTCACAGCAAGACCGCGGGTGGACTGCCCTTGGTGTCGGACACTTTCTTGCTGCAGAAACAGCAGCATTTCAACCGCTCCAAGAACCTGGAGCGGATGGTTCATCCCTGTATGTCCTGCTCCTCCTCGGTGGTTTCTTTGCCATCATCGGTCGGGTAATTAGATCAATTGGCTGACGATGCACAGGTGGTAGTGGAGCTTTCGGATACTTCGAAACTACCAGAGATGTATCCAACCTTACAAAGGTGCATATATCCCTTTGCTGCCGCCGAGAAGAATGTAACTTGAGAAAATACAGCTAACCTGGACAGGCCGACTTCCTCAAGTCCTCCGGACTGAAGACGCCGGTCTTCGTCCGCTTCTCTACCGTGACTCTCGGTCGGGAATTCCCCGATCTAGCCCGAAACCCGCGTGGTTTTGCCATCAAGTTCTACACGGGAGAAGGAAACTATGATATCGTGGGCCTGAATTTCGTATGTGATGTGGTGGATCTCATTCGTACTGCCTGTTTGACAGGTCTCTGACTTTGTCTGGTCAGCCGGTCTTCTTCTGCCGAGACCCTATTCAGGGCCCCGACGTGATTCGGTCGCAATCCCGTAACCCTCAGAATTTCCTCCTCGACCACAACTCCCTCTTCGATCTCTTGGCTAATACGCCTGAGGGGTATGTTTCGTGCAGTGGATAGGAAAGCTGCGTGTCATGTAGCTGACAATGGATAGAAATCATGCCGGCATGATGTTTTTCAGTAACCATGGAACGCCGAAGGGATGGAGAAACAACCACGGGTACGGCTGCCACACCTTCAAATGGTAGGCCAATTGACATGAACTTATGACCTGCACCTACTAAACAATTGTAGGGTGAATGACGAAGGCAAATTTGTGTATATCAAGTATCATTTCTTGGCAGACAATGGTCAGAGACAATTCACCGCCGATGAAGCCCAGTACCACGGAGGGGCCGATCCGGACTGGTCGAAACGCGATTTGTGGCAGGCAATCGAAAAGGGGGAAGAGATTACCTACACTGCACACGTGCAGATCATGCAGCCCGAAGATGCAGACCCTGTAAAACTGGGCTTTGATCCGTTCGATGTGACCAAGGTGTGGCCGAAGAAGCAGTTTCCGGTGAGTCCTAACTTCTCCGTCTTTTTTTCTGGGACGCCCTGTGTCACTCATCCATTTGATATAGCTTCAAGAGTTCGGTAAACTCCGCCTCAACAAGAACCCCGAGAATTTCCATCGCGATGTTGAACAGGCGGCGTTCTCCCCAGGCAGCATGGTCCCCGGCATTGAAGACAGCCCTGACCCCTTGTTGCAATTCCGTATGTTCTTCTACCGCGATGCACAATATCACCGAATCGGCATCAACCTCCACCAAGTTCCCGTCAACTGTCCTTTTATGGCCTCGTCCTATTCATCCCTGAATTTTGATGGTCAAATGCGCGTGGATGCCAATCACGGCATGAACCCGCAATATGTCCCGAACAGCTTTGTGAACAAGTTCCGACCAGATATTGCCGAGGCGCCTTACCAGCTAGCGGACAACAACGTCGGACGCAAATCCCATTTCTACCACGAAGGCAAGCCTTCCGAATACGATCAGCCACGGGCTTTGTATAAACAGGTGATGGATGAACGTGCTCGCAAGCAACTGCACGATAATACTGCCCGGCTCCTCCGACTCGTGGAGTATCCGCTGATCCATATCAAGTATTTGGCACAATTGTACCGCATTGCACCGGAGTATGCACAGGGCGTCTATGATCTGCTCCCCGAAAAGCCGTTTGCGTTTAGCGAGGTCGAGCAACGCGCTGGGGGTGCTGAGGCCGCCATGAAGGAGCCCAAGTTCCGCCCTTGCGCCCCGACCGACAAGTTGGTTGGAACGTGTCCGATGCAGCCTGTTTACAATGTCCAAGTTTAACGGAACCCTATATTCATTCCATGAGCTTAGTCCCATGACTAATGCCTCTTGTTGCTTCAATTGTATTGTCTTCTAATAATTAGTGCGAAATATGACATACTGCAGACCTTATGCCATCTGTCATGCACCGGATACTCTGATGATATATATATATATTCGTGCCAAGCCGAGAGCACTAATAACTTCATTGAACACAACAACTCGGAACCCTTGACCTGAGGCTAGTAGGGACATAAATACCTATTTAGTGAAACTAGTAGTAAGTAATATTGATTCAGGTACTAAGCCCAGATTGTTGCCAGGTGAAGGCGTCGAGTTACTACAAATCAATAGGTCCTCGAGATGGTCTGCCCCAATGTCGGAAAGTACGAGGACGAATGATGATGACGCCGATCGATACTGTTTTTGGGATAGAATGGTGAAACAACAAGATCTGAATGATGCACGCGCCCCACTAATTCAGGCAGATTCAAACACCCATCCGATCCATCATCCCTTTTTTTCTTTTCTTTATTGTGTCCATATCCATTATTCCCCCACAAGAAGTAAACGAGTCATCCCAGAAACAAGATGCCGGTTACTTTAACTACTTCCAGCTCCAGACCAGAGGCGTGGGTTGGAGCCAAGGTACTCACGGCGGAATCCCTCTTAGAGGAGTCTTGTCCAGAAAATGCCCGTCGCTGCAAACAGCTGTTCCAGAGCTCTTTCACCCCGGAACAACTCGCAGAAACCCACATCAGCTCCTCCTCAAATGGCCTGGTCAATGCTGTGTACCGGGCATATAGCAACCATCATCATCTGATCCTGCGACCGGAGGACGTGTGGTTCGCCATCCTGTCCCAACTGAGCTTCTACATCAACGCGCATGCCGAAGATTTGCGGTCGCATTTCGTGGCCCATGAAGGAAAGGAGGAAGTTTCTGTCACTGCAGTCGGGACGGTATATTCGGTCGACTTTGGTGCACTGGCAGTCCAAATGACTGAGGCGATTCAAGAAAAGGTCGTGGATCCCGACCTACGGACGTGGCTCATGCCGGCATTCAGCACCACCACCGTCAGCGACCAGATTATAGCAGCGGTCTTGATGATGGGTGCCATGCAACAATACTTCTCCTTTAAAGCATTTCTCTTATGTGGGATCCCCAGTGTGACATTGCTGGGAGAGCGGGAGGACTGGGTACAGCTGCTAAGCAAACTGGACAAGCTCCCCGACTTGGGTGCGGAGCCCGCTCAGTTTGCTCGCCTTCTTCGACCTGTCCTGCAAAATTTCATCGTCTCCTTTGACGAGCCCACTTTAGAGTCGGTTCGTGGATTCTGGGGCTTGTGCGCAGATCGAATCTCCGGCGGAAGCGGCCCGTCCTACTTGTCGGGGTGGATCACCGCGTTCTGCTACTGGGATGAAAAAGGCCAGCCCATGGATAAGGGAACCCCGGGATGTGAACTGGATGGTGTCCAGTTTCATCGTGTCGACTTTGATGATATCCCGGGCGCGTTCGCCTCAGTGCCTATGAAGGTAGATGACAATGGCACCGAGTATGAGACAGAGCTAGTCGCCGGAGTAATCGGCATTCAAGCCAGTTGTGGCAAACAGACGACAGCTGCTATTGGAGATGCAGAGGCCCAGCAAGACACGATCCAACCGGCTTCGGGATGGTGGATATATGAGAAGGAAACTGCCGCAGAGAATCCGGAGTGAAATTCACCAAGGTGTGGACTTGATGATTGCTTAGGATATATCAAAGCCCAAGATAGTGATTGATTAGAGGATACATGACCTAATCTATAGCTTCAATCAGCAGCCGCAGTTGGCTAACTTTGATTATAGGCCGTGTAGTATTCTATTTATTCAATATTGAGTCTCTGCGATGGCCTGAACACGGTAAGGTGTCCATGCAATATCCAGGAAAAAAGGGAAGATCTCCTGGGGTTCAGACGGTGTGATGGACCCGCCCCAGGATATCTTCAAAGGGCTTCACTTCTGTCTTTTGGTGCATGTCATTTGTCATTCTCAACTCCCACCATGCGCGTAACCAGGCTTTCCAGTTCTCAGAGTACTTTCTTCCCGAAGCTATTTTCCTGGTTATTACCATAGGCCCCGAGCACGGAAGAAGGGGGTAGAAGGCATCAGAGGTGTCTTATATGGTCAGGATCAGGTCTTGACTTGCATCAACAGCATATCAACGCTTTATGTTGTAGGCCATGAATATAAAGTATTTCTATTCACAGCAGGATAGGTGGCCTTTACTAGATGGGAAAAGGACTGATTAAAAGACAATTGACTAGTTTCCGAAAGGACAGCAAGTTTATTAGTATAATTATGTATTCATTCAGTTAAAAATTATTCAGCCGCTATAAGGAGGCGAACTGTGGTGCATATGTTGGAATATCTTACAGGTCTGAAAATTGGTCTGAGCTGCTCAGGTGGGTGACTTCCTGCAAGGCTGGTAGGGCGTGCGGCTGAGGCTGTGTTGACTAGATCGGCAGCTGCATAAAGGCCACAGCATAATCAAGGACTTACTTTTCAGCTGTTGCCAATCAATCCTGCTATGGCCAGCTCAGATGAACAAGACATTACCTCATTTCAGCCCGACTGTGGCTCTTTTGGCCAATCATAGCGGGGATTTCCCGGGCCGATACCTACTAGAGGATATAGTCTGTAGACCGTAAACTACTAGTTAGAAATCTGTACCACCTCGGGTTTGGATATAAGAGTATCCGGACTTTTTAATCGGCCGTACGGAGGCGAGATTGACCGAAGACTACTGAAAGATAGGCATGTGATACATGTACTCCAACACCGAAGAGCAAGCTTTGCCAGTCTTAACAAAAGCAATAACTCAACTATAATCCTTGGATATATATTCAGACCATTCTCTTTTAATTGAGTGAGATCCAATTGTATCCTCACTCCAGGCTACATCAGCACGCAGACGCTATATCCCCTGTGCCCTCTACTTCGATTTACGATTTCAAGATGAAATTCACTGCTACAATTGGGACTTTGATGTTCAGCCTATCAGCCTCTGTCAGTGCGGCTGTAACTGGGAACTGTACGCCAGGCATGAATTACTGTCAAGTCGTGCTTGACGATGTTGGTGAGTTGTGGGCCACTATTCAGCTTACTACATTGAAGTTGTGGATGAGGTGTACTAACATAAATAGGCGGCAACCAGGATGCGATGCATGATGCGATAGTCCGATGGGGTTCCCCTGAAGCCGCTCGCTACCCAGGTGTCTGGGGTAGTTACCTGTTCCATTGCAATGCCGACAAATCACTTAGTGTTGTTGAGGAATGCCGTATCATCTGTATCAACAGTGGCGCTGGAAAGAGTGACGTCTGTGATAACCCGGTGTAGATGGTGCAACAGATGAGGGTGAAGCATGTGGCCATGAGTAGATTGCGGATTAGGCAGTTATTTGTCCATCATGTATCCAGATATTGATCGTGGACAAGAGACCAGGAATGTCGATGATAAGTCCTGCCACTCCTCTAGTCGAATGAATCTGAATAGCTCTAGAACGAGTGCATTATGAATCCTTTATCTCTCATTATCGAGTCATAGGCCCCTTGGTAGCAGTGTATCACATAATAGCCAAGAATGCCCCAGCATGACACGGCTCGGGGATGATTATACGCGTAGTGGCGCCGTGGGAGTACTGCCCGCTACCGGTATATGTGCTTAGGATCTTATAATCAAGGCGTATTGGTATGATATTATGCTTATGTGGGTGACTTTGATAATACCTTGCTTTATACCCCGACCTGCTCCAATACACGAAAATACAGAGCAGATCAGCTACTCCATTTTCCCTGTCAACCTCCTATGCAGATATGAGTTCATTTGCATTGTGCACAGTCATTCTCGTCTTCCACCAGACAATTTGCAAATGCGACCGTACCCTCTTTGGTTTCGGGCAGTAGGGCTTACCCTCCATCAGCCGTTGATCCGTAATCAGGTTGTTCCGGATTGTCAGCACCATAAAGCCAACAACGAATGCTTTGGACTTGAACCCGGCAGGTACGCGAATTGAAACCAGGAAACTTCATGTCTGCCCAAAGGCTATAAGTCCCGTAATATTTTCTTAGATACCTGACTGGGTTAGCCACAGGTGAGTCATCTTATCAAATCTACTTGAGAGTGTGGTCGAGAATCGCAGATGATTTAGAGCTTGTTTCATCCGACTGACAGCCTGGCAGTCGCTAGATACCTTTCTATAAAATGCATACTATGTTGTAGCGAGGGGGGTGGCACAATAATTGTTGGAACAGTCATAATCAATGGCACATTTAATGTCCTACAATTAGTCCTGTTAATGAATTGGACTATTCAATTCGATTTCCAAGGTAAAGTAAAAGATGATACAGAAGGTTACTAACTACATGACAGGGTTCCGACTTCAACAAGTCGATGTTATCGCCAAGGTGAGTGACTGAAAAGCCACAGGAAAAGCTCCGGCTCAACTGCTCAAGACCCCCACGGGCCTTACATGTCAACGCCACTCGAAGCATCTTCGTTGACAACCCCGCCAGAAGAGGTAAGACTAGCAGCATATGTAGCACTGCTGTCATGGCTGGCAGTAACATTGATTCCAAGGGTAATCCACCCAAAAACACCATCCTCGATCGAGTCTCCCAGCAAAGCATACTGAAAGAAGGGGTCGGAGTTGCTATCCTCTGTCTCAACGATGACCACATGATCGTCGGCATTCTCGGTAATGGCAACGGTGTTGGTGTTGTAGGGATAGGTGGCTTCAACCTGTGAGATCAAATCCTGGTCGAAGAACAGCTGGCCGATGTGAGGAATATGGCCTCCCCTCAGCGTGTTGTTGGCGAGGACCTCCGCACCCAGGTGGGCGATGACATGGACGTGAGTTGCGCGACCAGAGTAATGTCCAGGGAAGACGGTCTTGAATCCCGCGACGCCATCAGCATCAGTCTTTTGAATGCCACGGAGGAATGTCTTATCGAGGTTGGAAGTGTCATTGACGTTGCCGTTCATGCTGCTTTGAACTCCGGAGTAGATCCCAGTGGAGTTGCAGTTCCAGACGTCCCAGTAGAGGTCCTGGATGGGTTCGCAGGTGTTGATGTCGATGAACTGGCCGTCAATGTAGAGAGGCACACCCGGTTCTCCGTCGGAGAGATCGTGTCGGATCAGCTCGCCCTTCACCCAGAAGGGGCCAACCTCACCCTCGGGAGCTAGGATACACACGGGGTCCTTTGAGAAAAGCTCCGACTCGGGAGTGTTGAGCGTCACATCGAGGGAGGAGTGGTGCGAGGTGTTGACCACCTGCTCCGTATCGCGGAGACCCAAGGAGCGCTTCTTGTACTGCTCAAACACGGCGGCGCGGCGAGAAGCAGCTCGTTCAAGGACGCCATTTCTCTTGAGCTGTCCGGCACACTGGCTCAGACTCCGGTGGGCGTTGTGCAGGAAGGCACGCTTGGAGACATCGGTGAAAGAGCTGGATTCATGGGCTCCCGGGTGCGCCATAGCAAAACCGGCCAGCGACAGCGCAATCGCCTGCTTGAGCTGAAGAAGCTGCATTTTGAGATAATTGAGAAGAGACGGTTCGAAGAGAACGAGTGAGTATGAGTTGGGTTGTGTTTTGGAAAGATTTGAAGACGAGCAAAAGCCATGCTTTATGTATCCTCAATCTGTCGGGCTCGGGATGTCCGTGATCCGGAAGTAGACCGATATCCACGCAATGCTCTCTGCTTGATATTGTCACTAAGGCATTCTGAACCGTCCCGAGGCCTGCAAACGCGTCATCGTCGTTGTATAGGATCTTGGCTAATCTCTTGTCATAGAACTCAACTGAAGTGAATCAGAGTCGGTGGGAAGGAGGAAGGAAGGTCGACATCCGTCAGTATCAAAAAGACGTGCGTGGCTTATGAAATGGAGGAAGATGATTGATGGAGGCTATCTGCTCTCCTCGAAGTAGCAAATGGAGCGGAGTGGAGTTAGGATCAACCGGCTCTTGGCAGCTTCCGCGTCTCGGCACCCTTTTCCCCAGGATCGACACTTCATCTTGCCCTCTGCATCTTCTTGCCCGCGTCAACCTTCATGTTTAACCCTGGCAAACACCGGCCCTAGCGTTGCCGCTGACTAATCCTGGCTGAGAAATTGCAACGTCCTTACAGGAACCGCCAGGATCCAGGAGCATTAGACCGTGTGTCTGTTCTCGTTCCGGCCCGCTAGGCATCTCCCACTAACATGAGCGGCCAATCTTCAGTCGAGCGCCCTGGTGGACGAGCTCGCAATGCTTGTGATCTGTGCCGCCGGAAGAAGGTACGTGATTGCATCCAATTCAATGATTCGTTTACTTCCTGCAAGTGGAGTTCTATGGCAATTGAGTGCTTATCCTACATGACCACACTAGATTCGCTGTGACAACGCACAACCAACCTGTGAGGCATGTACTTCGGTAGGTGTGCAGTGCACATTTACCGAACACCCTAGCCTGCTGCGGAAAAGCCTCCGAGAGTAAGTACCGGTGTCATTGCCATACTGGTGCGCTAACGGAAGTCATAGTCAACTCCTCGATGCCAAAGCACGGATACGGGACCTGGAAGCCCAGCTGGCTGTCCGGGACCTCTCTCCCGATTCCAGCCAGAGAGAGCGAAATAGTTCTATCGAACGTTCAGAAAACCCATGGCTTTCCTTGTTCACTGTAGACCATGTACCAGACATATACAGCATAGATACGTCGCTTGCAACATTTCAAGCAGAAATCGCCCATTGTGGAGTGGGAGAAGCTGGATCCACCAAAAGAGCGAGTTTTTCTTCCTTAGTCTACCGAAAAACAGGCGCCCAAGTCGATCTCGACCACTTTCTCGCCCAAGCTGCACAGTCGCTCAGATTTCGGGGCCTTCAGAGCAGGACAGGCTCACATCGCTCGCTGTCACCAAAGTGGCCTCCCACGCCTTTGATACGATACTCCATCAACCACTACTCCCAGAGTGGGTTGTATTCTATTTTCCCGGTTGCGAACGCCGATGCCCTGAATCGACTGATTGAAGAGGGTGTACCAGACCGTCAAGATGACACCGTGCCTGCAGCGAACCTGGCCTGCCTGTTTGCATTCACTGCAATGATGAGTGTAATGCATCGACTCAGCCCGGAATTCGTCAATGCTGAACCAGATGCATATATTCAGGCAGCACTGGGCCTCGTGCCTAGGCTGTTGATGGAAAGGACCACGGTTAGAAGCTTGGAAGCTGTTGTGCTGATTGTATGCTGCTTACATCTTGACCAAAATATTCTTCGCTGACTTCCACAGATGACCTATGTCATGCCAAGTGGACAAATTGAACCCGGGCAACTCCTGCTATCCCTAGCTACCCGAATGATACTCACTCTTGGTGCGCACCGAATGTCCATAATGAGCAAGCTGGAAGGTAGACACCTGCGGGCCTTGTTCTGGTTCTGCTATGGAGCGGATAAGAACATGCTCATCCGATACAATCAACCACCACATTTCATCGATGCGGACTGCGACCTCCAAATACCGGACAATTACGTTTTGTCGTCGTCTGACAATCAATTTTTCTCAAGACCTCTTTCACACAATGAGCTACTATTTCCCTCTGATGTCCGACTTTCTCTGCTGAAGTCCAAAGTGTATCATCTTCTTTATTCCCGCCATGCTCGAGCTCAGCCAGAGGCCCGTCGCCTTCAGTATATCCGTGAGTTAGATCAAGAGCTCAATGATCTGAAACGCACATTCCCGACTAGTTGCTGGCCGGATTTATTTGCCACACCGTCCGCCCCCAATTACACTTTCCATGACCTGAGTATGCGGGGAGTCTGTCTACACCTAGAATTCTACTTCTTATTAGGGAAGATTCACGAAGCGAGTCCTTGTCTTGAGAGCAACAATAGCATTTCCAGCTGGTCAATTCTTCCCTCCAGTGTCGAGCTGTTCTATCAGGAATCTCGGTCTATTCTCTTATACATACGTCATGTTTGTGATTTCCTGAACTGGCATACTTTCTGGTAGCTCTCCTCATTCGGTGTTCATTTGAAGTTACTAATACTGGTTACTCAGGATCTACGCCCAATTCTTGCTGACGAGCGTCTTCTCCCTTTTCAGATGTATTATCAGTTATCCTGCCGCGTCGTCAAATGAGAACGACATACAACTACTGCAGAGCTTAGTGGACATGTTCGCTGAATTAGATGGAAAGGAATCAGAAAATGCGAGGGGGCTGTTTCCTCCGTTTTATTTCACAGTCTGTCTGATCAAGAGACTTGTCTTCCTTGCCAGGCAGGCCTCCAACAAGGCTTGCGAGTGATACTGGCTTGTTGGTCGCGCTCAAAGTGAGATTATGAGCTCAGGAAAATATATATGACTGAGTGCGAAGTAGACCCGTGTGAGCCTTTCCTCTGACTAGAGAATAATTGGTCGTTGCGAAAGTGTTGGACCTTAATTTCGAACAAATCTCGCTCTAACCCAACTTGATACATGTTAGAAGTTATCTTTGATTAAATAATTTCTTGAGGCGCGTTCTACAGCAACGAAAGCAACGAAACGAATGAACAAATGGAGCAAAAGAGAGAGTTATATTGAGCTATCTAGAAGATTAAAACAAAGTAATGTATAAAGATACTTTATGTAGAAGATCTGAGTATAGTATATAACTAATCTATATAAATATCTTAACACGGCCCCCTAGACACAGGAGTATATAAAGAAAAATTAAATAAAATTATAGATATTTTTTAAATAGATAATCTTTCACATATTAAACATTATTTCCTGGATACTGTGGAGGGGTAGTTAATAAGATTATCTTTAAAAAAATCTAAAAATCATAGAACTTCTCTTAATCTAATATTTTAATAAGACTGTCTGCAGGATTACAAGTACTTATAATATATTAGACTAATATAATATCTATTTTAATAAGATTTATTATAAATAAATAATAGTTATTTAGCTATCTAGTAGACCGCGTATAAATATTATAATTAAAAATCTGTAATAAATTAACAGTATTATTAAATAAAAATATCTTATTATTATCTAATATCTTAAGATCAAACATCTGTATTAATTTCTTAATATATAAAATATTTTTAACGGTGGTATTATATACACAGTATTCTGTAATAATAAAGAAGGATATAATAATATTTTATTTATTAAATAATTAAATAATAGAGCTACCTGTATAAAATATAATTTATTTTTCTATTAATTTACTATTCTCATGGTCAGTATAAATAATATTTATATAAATTTTAATTTCTTTTATATAATCAGCTGCTAGGATAATCTTATAAAAAATAATATTATATAAATATCTGTATATATCTTTTAATATTTTTATATCTGCTATAATAAAAGCATGTATATATTTTTATAAGTAAAATATAATAAAATATAAGTTAAATCTTATTTTTAGAGTGGTTAACGGCCAGGGTAGGGTAGGTTAATGGAAAAATTTATACCTGCCGTCAGGTTAATGGTTAGATATAAGATTTCCTTATATTTAACTACAGAATAGCTAAAAATAGGATGGTTAACTGTCTTAACTATTCTTAATACTAAGATTTATTTATTATATTCTTTTAGACTTTAACATAGATAAAGTATACTCAGATTAATAATTATTTATTTTAATTATTTATATTTTTGCTAATAACTAATACAAGACTAATTTTCTTAATTTTAAAAATAGTTAAAAGAAAGAAAATAGTATGCTTTATTTATTTTTATTTATTTAATCTGATATTATCTCGGGTGGTAGTAATAATTAAATTTATAGAAAAAAGCTATTTTTATAATATAAAATAATAATAAATATATATATTTACAGTTCTATTTTAGTTATATACTGCTGGTAGATTATTAATATTTTTTAAATTAATTTTCCAGGCTGGTAAATCTCTCTGAAAATTATTCTATATAGTAATAAATAGATTTATTATTTTTTCTAGTAGGGAAATCGTCACAACGGGACAACGGTCAAATGATGTCTGATAAGTCTTTAAATAATATTATTTGATAGGGCTTTCTATAAGAAATATAATAATATAATCTTTGCCTCTTTATTTAATTATTCTATAGAATTATAAGTATTTAAAGATAGTAGTATATACTTCCAAATTTAGTTAGTATATATAACAGAAATTTAATCAGATTAGTGCATATAACAGAAATTTAAATCAGGTTAATATGCTTTTCCACGGGCACTAAGCCTAATTAAATCTATTAAGTATTATAAAAATAAATATTATAGTAATAAATATTATTCTAATAAGTATTATACTTATAAGCATTACTCTAATAAGTATTATACTTATAAGTATTACTCTAATAAGCATTATACTAATTAATACATTAATATATCTATAGATCCTAAGAATCCTAATCCACCTGGAAAGATTAAATTAAATATACTTATTATTTAATAATATTTACTATGCTTAAGTTATATATCTTTAAAAGATATCTCTTTTAATAATATTAATATATAATAGTCTATATATATACTAATAACTAGTTATAAAAAAGCAGAGATTATATTCTAGCCCGCAGATTATAAAGATAATAATATTATAAAAATAAAATAAAAATTTAAAAAATAATACTATATTAATTTAATTAAATTTATATAATCTTACTGAGCCAGCAGATAGTAAAAAAAAATAATATAATAATTAATAGTTTTCTTACAGTTCTTGTACTTAGATAATATTTTTTTTAAAAAAAATACAGGAATTAATATATAAGCTAGTACTATATTTATTTATAATATTATTTTTTTTAATATATTTAGCCCTCT